AATCACACTAAAACCACTACATTGCACACTTGAAAAGGATGAATTTCATGGTATTGGAATTGTATCTAAATTTTAAAATCCACAGTATTTCTACACATTAGTAATGAGCAATCTGAAAATGAAAATTAAAAATTCACAAAGAACAAAAACATTGTTAGAGATAAATTTAACAAAAGAAGAACAAGACTTTTACATTGAAAATTTTAAAACATTGCTGAGAAAAATGAAATATACGTGAGACATTCCATGTTCATGGACTGGAAGGCTATATATTAAGATGGCATTTCTCCCCAAATTGATCTATATATTTAATGCATTCCCTATCAAAATCCCAGCAGGCTTTTTGTAGAAATTGATAAGCTCATCTAAGATTCATATGGAATTGCAAAAGACCCATATTAGTCAAAATAATTTTGAAACAGAAGAAAGTTAGAGGACTTATACTATCACATTCCAAACTTAATATAATGGTACAGTAATCAAAACAGTATGGTATTGACATAAGGATAGGCCTATAGATCAATGGAACAGAACAGTGAATCTTGAAATAAACCCTTATATTTAGGGTCGACTTATTTTTGATGAAGAATTACCAAAGCAATTCAATAGGGAAAGGATTATTTTTTCCAATAAATGTTGCTGGGACAATTGGGTATCCATATGCCAAAAGATGAACTTAGACCCTTACCTTACATCATACAAAAAATTTACTCAAATAAACTATAAACTTAAATGTAAGCAAAAATTGTCAATCTTTTAGAAGAAAACGAGAAACCCGCCTGCAAGACCCTGGGTTAGGCAACTAATTCATAGATATGACACACCAAAAGCACAAGCTTAAAAAAAATGATAAAAATAAATTTGACTACATCAAAATTAAAATCTTTTGTGCTTCCAAATGCACTATTGAGAAAATGAAAGGACAAGCCACAGATGGGGAAAAAATATTCTCAGTAAATATATCTGACAAAGGATGTATCCAAAACTTAAAACTCCACATTAAGGAGATAAACCAGTTGAAAAAAATGGGCAAAAGGCTTGGGCAGTCTGTAAAAAAAGGACATATGAATGGCCAAGTAGCATACAGAAAGATGCTCAATATCATTATCATCAGAGAAATGCAAATTTAAAACTGTCATGATACACCACTTCACACCAAAATTCTAAAACTAAAAAGACTGACAATACCTATTATTAGTCAGGATGTGGAGCAGATTTAATGCTCAAACATTCCTCGTGGGAGTGCTAAATTATATAGTTATTCTGCAGTATAGTTTAGTAGTTTATTTTAACACTAAACATCCACTCATAAGACCCAGTAATTCTACTGCTAGGTATTTATCTGAGAGAAATAAAAATATATGTCCAGAAAAAGATCTGTGCATGAATATTCATATCAGACTTATTAATAATAACAAATATTGTAAATAATGCAAATGTCCCTCCACAGGAGAATGGATAAAAACAAGTTGTGGCATGTTCTTAAAATGCAGTACTTCTTAGCAATAGAATGTAATGAATACCAACAGATGCAACAACATGGATGAACCTCAGAAACATTCTGCTGAGTGAAGGAAGCTACTAAACACATAAAAGTACATCCTGCATGAGCCTACTGATGTGAAGTTCTAGAACAGACCTGCTAATTTATAGTGACAGAAATCAGATCAATGGTTTCTTGATATGGGGAATGGGAAACTTCAACTACATAGGATATAAGGGAACATTCTGGAATGACAGAAATGTTCTAAACTGGAAGGAAATGGTGGTTAGTTGGGTGAATACATTGGTCAAATCTCATTGTGCTGCATGTATATACTTGAAATGTTACTGTATATAAATTATTCCCCAAAAGTGTATTAAACTTTTTTAAGTACTCAGAGTTAAGGGATAAGATAGCATCTATTAAAATTACTGGGGACTCTTAAAACAAAGCAGGTAGAGATTTTAATTTAAGAAAAGACAGATATGAAGATCCAGTTTAAAATCTTGGACATGAATAGCATTTGAAATATCTCAACAGGTAACTGGACATGATTACTCTATGTAAATGGAACACAGTAAAACAGAATAGTAGTGAACTGAATGACAGAACTAAGAAAATCACCTGGAACTAGAAAGCTAAAGACATTGGAGAATCTAAAGAGTAGTTAGGAGACATGGAAAATGGATCAAGATGCTGCAAGATATGTCTAACAGAAATTTGGAAAGAGAGAATGGAAGAGAGGCAATATTAAAAGAAATCATCACTGATTTTTTTTTTAAAGAATTGAAGAAAGACAACAGTCTTCATGTTGAAAAAGCACTGTAAGTGAGGGACAAATTTAAAAAAAAAACAAAACTTCCAGATATATTCCAGAGAAACTGCTGAAAATCAAGAAAAAAAAACTATTAAAAGCTATTAGAAAATATAGATCACATATAATGGAGTAAAAATCAGACTTAACAACAGGTTGCTCACAATGAACAATAAATGCCAGATGATAATGATATTATATCTTCAAACTGCTAAGGAAAAAATGATATACCTCAATTTATGATATATATAATAAGTAATAAAATTATGTATATATGATATACTACCATGCAGTAGTGAAGGCAAAATACAGACATTTTAAACATCTATAGAACAAAAGTTTCCCATTCATTTATACTCACTGAAAGAACTATTAAAGGACAGATTGTAGCAAGAAGGAAAATAAAGCCAGAAGAAAGGAATGGGATATAAGAAGCAACAGAGAACAAAGTAATTGGCAAAGCATATTAGTAAACCTAAGTAGTTACTAAAACAAATAACAATAATATTTTATGTGTTAAAACCAATACTAATATTAAAATTCAAAATAAAAATCACATGGAAGATGCTTAGAGGGAAGTTAAAGCATATCAAAGTCCTTTTTAAAAATTTGTTTTACCTAATTAGATTGTCATTGATTGTCAAAGTGGTGAAGATGTCTTAAGCCCCTAAATCCCTTTTCATTTCTGTCAATAGTCCTGTAAACTGAAGGAAGGAAGGTTTAGACTAGAAAGTGCCTTTGAAACTTTAAACTGCAACTCACACTCAGACATGTAGTTGACATTGTGACCCAGTGTGTGTACATAAAACACACGACGAAACTACACAAAGTAAGAACCATTATATGAGTGATCACTACCATATTTTACTTTCCATTCTGCTTTATTATATTTCACTTTTTTGGTATTACTTAATAATGTCTTAAAATTGATTTCCCTGTCCACATGGTCCTAAAGCTTGAAAAACACTAGTAAGAGTGTTTCCTGAAAAGTCCTAAGTGTCTACCTCTCCTGCTTTAAAAATATATGCTATTAAGTCAGAAATCAGTTAAAGATAAAAAGTTAAATGAAAAAAAATATGATAGAGATTTCTAGCAGCATCCTACCACCCAGAATGGAAGGCTTGGATTCATCTTCACAGCCACCTCTCTCAATGAATCAGTCATCAATTTCTGTGTCTTCTGTCCTCACAATGTATCTCACATCTTTGTTCTCCTTTTCTTTTTCCTTTAAAAAAATTGAGATATAATTGACATATAATATTGAATTACTTTTAGGTGTACAACATAATTTGATATATGTATATATTACAAAAAGATCAAAGTTCTTTCTTTGTTTCAGTGGGGGACAGAAATTCTGAAAAACTTTAAACTTTGTTAGTGAAATAAGGGAGTATGGATCATAAAATTTTAAGTATAACAGTATAAAAATAATGAATATTTTCTAAATTGATAGGGGGAATATGGAAAACTCACTGTAACAGAGGGAAAGAGAATTAAAAACACAAGAAAAAGAAGGTAAATAGAAAACACAAAATAAATTGTAGAAATAAGTCCAAATATTGCACATTACAATAATTATAAGTGAACAAAACTGACCCATAAATAAGACAAAAACTCTGAAACTGGGTTTTAAAAAGCCAGCTACATGCTACTTAAAGAAATATATCAAAAACAGAATGATACCTGAATGTTGAAAATGAAGGGATGAAAAAGTTCTAAGAGGCAAATACCAGCAAAAAAAAAAAAAAGCTGACATGAACAGAATTTAAGAAGATAACTATTTAATAGGAAAAATAATAGATTTCACTGAGACTAGGAAAGTTTGAGCTTACTCCATCCAGGAACTTGAAAATAATAAATAAGAAAAATTTTAAAATATATTTGTATTGAGTCTTGAAAGTTAAACTCTACATCTACCTAGCAAGCCCTGTTTTATTGTATAGAAGCTGACTTTTATTGTTAGAATGAAAATATATATTTCTCATCTTGTGCTTTTAAAAGAAGGTGTAACTTTTCTTCCACAAGAATGTAAAAGGATGCATAAATACAGGTAAAGTAGAGAGTAAGCAGGTAATCAGATAACATGATCAAATTCACAGTTTATAGCCATAGATTTATAGGGAAAAGATTTAACCTAAATTGTCAAGTAAAAAATACACACTACAAAGTATTATACATATAGGATTGACTGTCTACTTTAAGCTCTAAAAAAATACTGGAACCAAGCAACTGTACTAAAATTAACAATCATTATCTTACAGTGGTAGAATTATTGGTAATTTTTATTTTTCTTTATACTTTTCTGGGTTTTCATGATGAAGAAAATGTTACTTTTAAAATGTAGATATTTCTACATATTTCCTTTAAACAGGAATAGGAAGGCCATTTGAATACTTGAAGAGCCAAAACTCACTAACTTAACTTTTCTTTAACAAAAATTCAGCAGTATTTCAAATGGACTAAATATCAAAAACAAAACAAAAATCTGAATGCTTTTTACCTTTTATGATTTGTTAGTGAGGGAGGTAACTGGGTTTATTTATTAATTCATATTTGGAGGAGGTACTGGGGATTGAACCCACGACTTCGTGCATGGTAAGCATCTGCTCTACCACTTGAGCTATACCCTCCCCCACTAACCTTTACGATTTTTAACAGAGATTAAAGTTCACCTAAATATTATGGAGTAATAATTTCTTCTAGGAACTTGATCAAAATGCAACTGAAAAAGTCCAGGCAATGTTCACAGCCATTGATGAGCTCTTGTATGAGCAGAAGTTGAGTGTACATACTAAGAGTCTACAAGAAGAGTGCCAACAGTGGACATGTAGCTTTCCTCACCTCAGGTATTGGAATCCTTGTATATTCATGGCTAATACTAGAATTTGAAAAGCAGACTTCAAAAAAACCTATTTATTTATTTTGAAATCTTTATGGGCATGGTTTTGTGTAGATAAGGCCATGTGCTGAAAAGCCTCAGCTGATAGAAAACTCACGTTGATGGCAGTTTCTCTGAGTTTTCATAACTACCAATATGTTGTCCTAATTGAGTAAAACAATTTCTATACCAGTAGCCAAGATCTGTGTATTGTCGCTGTCCAAAGAGCTCTTCTTCTGAGCAAGAAGTTCAGAAAATGTACTTGGTTACACTATTGTCTACAGTTAAATTCTTATGCACATATACTTGAAAGCAGATAAAGGCTATTAGGAAGTGCCCTTAGAAACTGCATTAGTGCACTTATTACACATACTTAAAATTTATAGATTCATGTTCTTAAAAGTATAATTCAATTTTCACTAATTTGGCCTGTCTTTCACTCATTTTGGAAGATTTAATGAAGACTGTTATAGAGGATGGAAGGCAAATTACAAATGTTTGCCTAGTTTCCTTGGAGTTTTGGGGGGAGTAGAGGGAGTGACTATAGCTTTATGTTTTCCATCTCCATTCTGGGGAAGAGAGATATACCTTTAATAAGGCTCTGATTCACATTTCTCTCAAGAATCATTCTTAATCAGTAACAGACTAAGTATGTACTGGACTTCTCTGTAAAGCCATCAAATTTGTTCCAAAAATATCTACATTATATATGCCCAATGAAGGTGCTTAACTGTCTCTTTATGTTCTTCACTTTGAAGGATTCTGGGTAGGCAGATAATCACTCCAAGTGAAGGTTATGGACTGTACCCTAGATCCCATTCTGCTGTTTCAGCTTCATATGAGGCAACACTGTCTCAAGAAAGAGATTCTACTATGTAAGTATTTATGTATTGTAATGTACAAGTATTATATTCTACCAGTTATACTTAGAGATTAAAATACTTCTTACTTATTGGTATTTAGTGAAGCAAGCAAATTCTGTAAGATTGACCATAGTCTTCATGCATATTAGAAATTTGTTATTTAATTTTTTGTTCAAAAAGTAAGACATTCTCTAGGGCTTAAGGGTTATTCAGATCAATATATATCTATATCTACATCTGTCTATAAATACAGGCACTTCCCTCTTGGAACAGATGTGTAGATAACACGGGTTTAAAGAAATTCAGGGATCTAAGAAACATTTAAAAGTTTTTTGAAAAAAATCTTGAAAAAGTGATTTTTCTTAAACATGTAATGCTAATTACAACTTAATCTACAGAAGTTAAACTGCTGTTAGTCTATTAGCTTAAAATGAGTAATTAGTACATTAATTTAAATGGCTAATTCTTTGAACACCTCAAACTATTTAAACAGCAGCAAAATAAACTCAAATAGGACTATTTCAAAAATCTATGCTTACCCTTAATTCTATGCTAACATTTCATAGTTTTAATTCATTTTAAAATTATTCCTTTACTTTTTCCTAAGACTGTAGCTTTACTTACTTGATACCTTCTGAGAGTTGGAGTTTTACTTACTTTTGATGCTTTTTTGGGCTTGTAATTTCATTAGACCACAGAGTAAAATATTACTGTCTTAGGTCAGTTAGGGTTATGGAATCTGGGTTATCAACTAACTGATTTTTGGTCAGAGAATGGGATTTGTTTGCTTCTCCCAAAGTTATTTAAACTTAAGCTTTTGGTCACTAGGCTGAGCTTTCTTTTAACATTTTAACCTCGTGTATTATATCAATAAGCCTTTTTAAGTTTACTCCTTTTATATACATTTCAGATTTTTAAAAACTAATGTCTCCCATAGAAATAATGTATTCTATAATTCTCACTGACCACAATTACAAAACCCATGTCCTGCTATTAAGATATATTTACCTGATCTGTTAGTATAAACTTTATATATCCCTTATTATTTTATAACTATAAATACTAGTTCCATTTAGAGAACTTATTTCTAAAGAAATAAGAAACAAGTCTGAGCAGTTAGCACCTCCTTTTTAAGGACATCTGGCTAAATCATCTACAACATACTGCAGACTTCCTTTCTTTCTCCCTTCCTCCCTTCGTAAAAGTAGATTTAGTCAGAGAGATACACACTCCATAGACTGAGTGTAAGCCATCTCAGAAGGCCAGAGAGGACATGAGGCATGGGGGTGGGTAAAGTAGAAGTAGACAGACACTCCATATACAGTGTGCCGGCCATCTCAGAAAGCAAAAGAGCGACCACAAGGTGCGGAGTTGTTAGTTTTTATGGGCTTGGTAATTTCATATGCTAACAGGTGGGAGGATTATTCCACCTACTTTGGAGACGGGCTGGGATCCCCAGGAACTGGGCCATCACTCACTATTTGACCTTTTATGGTTAGCCCCGGACATGGCACCTGTGGGAGTGCCATGTAGTATGCTAACTTAGTACAGTGAGTGTATAATGAAGCTCAAGGTCTACTGGGAGTTGAATCTTCTGCCGCTTGGTGCTAACTTCTGTGTCGTTCTTTTAATGATTGTGCCCTGTCCTTCTCCCTCCTGTCTCATTGCCCCCTCAGAGATTTATTTTTTCTTTTACTGAAGTATAGTCAGTTTACAATGTTGCATCAGTTCTGGTGTACAGCATATTTCAGTCGTCCATATACATACATACACCATTTTCATATTCTTTTTCATTATAGGTTACCGTAAGATATTGAATATAGTCCCCTGTTTTATTTCTTAAAATAGTATGTAGCTGGATTTTTAAAATCCAGTTTTAAGAGTTTCTGTCTTATTTATGGGTAAATTTTGTCCACTGTAATGTGCAATATTTGGACTCATTTCTACCATTTACTGTTTTCTATTGATCTTCTTTTTCTTGTGTTTTTTCCCCCTTGTGTTTTTAATTCTCTTTCCCTCTGTTACAGTGAGTTTTCCATATTTCCAATTGATATTTCCAATCAATTTGGAAGTTATTCATTACTTTTATACTGTTATACTTAAAATTTTAGCATCCATACTGCCTTATTTTGCTAACAGAGTTAAGTTTTTCAGGATTTCTGTCCTCTACCGAAACAAAGAAAGAACTTTGATCATTTTGCAGTATATATGTATTTATACATTTTAATTAACCATAATTATTATTGATGCTCAGATTGTTACAACTTGCCCATGTCAAGCTAACTCCCTTGTTTTTGTCTTGACTATAACCTTACTTTCTGGTTACAGTAGGATGTTCTAGGCCCTACTTAATTTTTCCTTCCTTTAGACATGGATTCAGCTGAAATTCAAGGAGGCCTAATTCCTTTGAGAGGCTACTAGTATTTGAGAACAAAATTAGGGTAGTGAGGGTATATAAATTGGTGGTGTTGCTACAGTTTTGCCCCTTTTTTAAATAAGAAGTGTGGAAAATGTGTCAAGAATTCATTTCAATATTTTTTTCAGTTTAACAAATAAGTTTTCCATAAAATATGAGGCTTATCAACCGCTGAGACTTTATGTAAAAATAACATTTCAAGTTATATCCATTCTTGCCCCTCCACATTACATCAGATTTTCCTTTTAAAGCTCAGAATTAATCCTTTCTGTCCCCTACTTAAAAATCTTCAATACCTGCCCACTGAATTTAAGATACAAATATAAAATTATGTCAAGGGCTGGCCTCAGTCTACATCTCTGTCTTTATCTTCTGTCACTCTCTATCTCATTCATTAATCCTCCTACACTGGCTTTCTTTCAAATCTCAAATGTACCAAACAGGGTATTTGGTCCAGTTTCCATTCCTGAGGAGTTCTTGGGCCAGAGGAAAGTGGTACAATAAACAATACAAAAAATGCAATCTCTTCCTCTTTTTATCTCTAATACTTAGCACAATACCTAGAGCATGGTTAGCATTCAGTTTTGTTTTGTTTTTTTACTAAATCAATGTATCATATTTATATGATAACAAATCCATGAAAATTAATTAATTGATATTATGGTTGCAAAACAGTGTTACCAATCGAAACAAATATTAATGTCTAGGTCAAAATGGAATTCTAGGAACTTACAACGATAGAAGATGATGGCAGCAGAAGGAGAAAACAAAGGCCAGAAAAGGTCCCTGAAATGATGATTTCTAAGACATTTCTATTTGAAAAAACTATGCATTCTACTGCTTCAAGTTAGCATAAGGGTCTGAGCTACCCTTAATTTAAATGCATATCTCAACAAAAATTAACTGTAATAACTAATAAGTTGCTAAAATATATGACTATATGCAAAACTATAACCCTTAAGAAATCATTAAAAGAACAGAGGGCCCAGAAATAAACCTTTGTGTATATGACTAAATGATTTTCAACAAGGGTGCCAAGACTACACAATGGAGAAAGGACAATCTCTTCAACAAGTAGTACTGGAAAAACTGGATATCCACATGCAGCATGAAGTGGGACCCTTACTTTACACCATATACAGAAATAAACTAAAAATGGACTATAAAGACCTAAATGTAAGACCTAAAACTATAAATAAAACATTGGGGAAAAGCCTCATTGCCTCATTTGGAAGTGATTTACTGGATAGAACACCAAAAGTACAGGCAGCAAAAGCAAAAACAGGCAAATGGGACTACATCAAACTTAAAATTTTCTGTGCATCAAAATAAAGTCATCAGAGTGAAAAGGAAACCTGTGGAATGGGGGAGAATATTTGCAAACTGCATATCTGATAAGGGGCATGTATCTAGAATATATAAGGAACTTACACAACTAAACAACAAATAACCCAATTTTAAAACGGACAAAAGACTAGAATAAACAATGCTCAGAGAAGATATACAGATGGCAAACAAGCATATGAAAAAACGCTCAATATCATTAATCAAAAGAGGAATGCAAATTAAAACCACAATAAAATATCACTTCATACCCATCAGGATGGCCACTAACAAAAGAATAGAAAATAACAAGTGTTGGCAAAGATGTAGAGAAACGAACCTTTATGTACTGTTGGTGGGGATGTAAAATGATGCAGCCATTATGGAAAACAATATGGAAGTTCCTTAAGAAATTAAAAATAGAATTACCAAATGATCCAGCTGTCTCACTCCTGGGTATATATCCAATATCCAAAAAATTCAAAGCAGGATCTCAAAGAGATATTTACACACCCATGTTCACTACAGCATTATTCACAGCAGCCAACAGTTCGAAACAACCCAAATATCCATCAGCAGATGAATGGGTAAAGAAAATGTGGTATATACATACAATGGAATATTATAGAAGGAAATCCTGTCACATCTGCAATATGGATGAACCTCACTGATATTATACTAAGTGAAATAAGCCACTCACAAAAGGACAAATACACTATTCCACCCATATTAAGTATCTAAAGTCGTCAAATCATAGACATAGGAAGTACAAGGGGGGATGTCAAGGGAGGGGAGGAAGAAGGGACATTAGTGTTTAATGGGTATCAGAGTTTCAGTTTTGCAAAATGAAAAAGTTCAACAGATCTGTTGTACAATAATGTGAATATAGTTAACACTACTGAACCATATAGTTTAAAACGGTTATGATGGTGTATTTGATGCTTTATTGTTTACCACAATTTAAAAAAAATCATTAAAGTGATATAGTGGTGTTTGTCCTAAGCCCACCTCCCTTGTGTCACTCATTACAAATTATAGCTTTTGCTTTCATTTTCTTTGATTTTTTTATAACTGTCCTAAATGCAAGAGCCCAGTCAAGCTAATTACAAATCAGATTTTTTTTTTAAGACATAAAGAGCTTCCTGAACCTCTCTAAAACCATGGAAATATTCTCTTTCAGTTCTTCTACTGGTAGGGCCACCCACAATCATATTTCCTTTACAGTATACTAAGTTATAATGTTTCTCCTTTTGGCATCATGAGCTCACACCTTCATGTAAATTTCTTCTATTTTGGTCATTTCTAGAGGTCTACTGAGAGATAAATTTGGTCTGAAGTGGAGTTGAGAGTAGTTAATTGTGCTTTTCAGATCCTAGTCAGGAAGGAGAGCTCTTTGCCACTTGTTCCTCCCATCCGCCCTGGAGGGTTGCAGTCATCACCTCCATGAAGGCTGCAGAATTCCACCTCCTAAGGCCTACAGCTTAGTGGGCTGGCTCCAAATTAGACCGTCTAAATAATAAACCTTGCAAAGTCATTTTATCCTCCATACAAGTGAAGAAGAATAAAGTGGCAGTGATTTTTTTTTCCTCTCACAAGAAAACAGATCTGAACTTAAATATTACTTTAATATAAATATTACTTTCAGGTCAATACATTATTAGGTAAGACTACTGTTACTCTTTTAGTAAGTAAAAGAACTACAAACATTTTAGAAGTTAAAGGTTATTTTCTAGACATGGTAATCTCTGAGGCATTTAGAAGACTCTTTTGTTAGAAATAACATTTGCAAAGACAGTTTACTACCATCTGTTTTTTGCTACAGCTTTATCTAACTGAAAAATTTTTTAACAAATGAAAAGGCCTATACTTTGTTAGAAAAGCCTATTTTTTTTAAAGGAGGTAATTCCACTAGTTACCACTGACTAAAAAATGATTGGTTAATAATACAAATGGAATGATACAATAGCAGAGTAACATGGAATGTTGCGAATGCAATGCTTGACATGGGTTTGACAGCTTTTAATTTTGTCATGTGGTAGAAAAAAAGTACTAACACCACTATTTTATAAAGGAAAAGACATTTTAACACAAAAAAAGCATGAAGCGCATAATACATAATAAGGACAGTCCTCTTCAAGAAAGGTATTTTATAGTCTTACTGAGCATTGTTCTTATTTTGCTCATTTTGGTGTGGATCAGTAAACAAATCTGTCATGGATTGCCATAAATCTGTTGACCAGAATTTGGGTATCACTATTTTAGAATTTCAGAACAAAGACTTTAAAAACTCTTAAGTCTCAAGTTTAGAGATTTTATAAACAGTAATACCAGTTGGTTTAGAAGTGCTGGTTCTTCAGACTTTTTCTCATCTCTTACTGTCTCTTCATCCCTATGGCTCCTGCCATGGTCCAGGCTCTCATCAGCTTACCAGCTCTTGCTTTATCTTTTGCACTAACCTCCTAACCACATTATCATCTTCTTTACCACCATAGTGATCTTTTAAAGCAAGGATGCTGTCATTCCCCTTCTTAAAAACTTTAATTCATTTCCATTGCTATCAATTAGACAAAATTAAAAATGTCCTTCACAGTCTGGCGTCATAACTTTCCAACTACTTCCTCTGAACCATATACTTTATTTAGTGGCTTACAAAACAGGTTTTTCTTTTAAAAGAAGTCTGGAGGAAGGGTATCTAAAGACATCATGGTGATGACATGGTGTTTTCAGGGTCCTAGACTCCATTCATCTTTCTGCTACACCATGCTAGCCCAGGATGTTTTTTCCTGGGTTTTTTTCATGGTCCAAGATAGCTGATAGAGTTCCAAATATGACATTCACTTTCCAGGCAGCAGGAAGGAGGAAAGGCAGAAGGGCAAAAGGGCACCTCATGTAGCTAGGCCAGTTCTCTTTAAACAGCCTCCCCAGAGTCCCACACAACAATTCTGCTCTTACCTCATTGGTTACCTCTGGCCGCAAAGTAGTGGGAAATGTCTTTAAGATTGGGTGTATTGCTTTCCAGAACTAAATTGACATCGTTTACTAGGAAAAAAGGGAAGAATGGATATTGGACACTCTAAGCATTTTCTGCCACATATGTATATAGTTTTGTGAAATTACTGTACCTATTTTGTAATCTTTAATACTTACCATTTTATTGTGAGCATCTTCCATTTTTCCCCCCAACATTAATCTAATAACATCATAGACTTCCAATACTATTATTTAAACAACCAATTCCCAATCCTACATTTTGAAACAGTTGGGCTAGTATTGACTTTTGCCAATTATAAACAATTCTGTGATGATAATTTTTATAGCTAAATCTTATAGGTCATATCCTTGAAGGAAATCCCTACAAATGAAACCACTGAATCAATAGGTATGTTTATTTTAAGGCTTTTAATAAATATTTCCAAAATGTCTTCCAATAAGATTTTCCGACTAGCCTTGATGAAAAGTGACATAGGTTTATTCTTTTTTCACTGTTTAAAAAAATACTTAAGGTACAAAAAAGTATAAAGAACAGCACAAAGCATACATTGGCTATATTTAATATTAGGTTAAACTGAGAGCCATTTAAAAAATTGTATTGCTCAGATTTGACTTTCTCCAAAGTAAATCTGCTGAAGTGAATGAGTTATTACATATTCACTGAATACTTGGGTAGGAAGAGGAATTTAAATATAAATGAGAGAAGATCCTTGCCCTTTAGGAGCATGCGTTTTGAAAAATGATTGAGTTATTGAAACAAACTCATAATTTCCTGAGGTACCTTAAAGAGGTAATTATGACTGTGAATCTTACTAAATTAAAAAAAAACTTATTTTATAGCCATAGCTATTGCATCTGAGAAGATAGCACAGAGTATTCAAAAGTGCGTAATACACCTAAGCAGAGTAGGTCTATGGCTAGTATTTACTCCTATTCTGAGAAATTATAGATTTAAGGTTCAGAGTAGTCCAGGAAGGGGTCACTAGAGCAAGGGACTTTGAGCTGAAACTTGTGCAACTGAGTTGCTGTGAGAACTGTTTATGCTGTACATAATTACTATTTGCTTTTTTCCCTCCCCCAGATTTGGTATTAGGGGAAAGAAGTTACATTTTTCATCTTCCTATGCTCCTAAAGCATCTTCCATTGCCAAATCCCCTAGCTTGTGTTCTATGGAAAGAGAAGAGGAAGACTGTATAATCTTCTCTGAAGGAATAATAGAGGAATACCTAGCATTTGACCACACAGATATGTGAGTATTGTGTCTTTTAAACTTTTTACTCCCCTCCTATTTTATGTATTAATATCTACTTTTTCTAAAGTATACCACAAATATTACCTATAATTAGATTTATGTCCATTTCTGTTATTTATTTTCTAATATTTCTCAGTGACCAGTGTTCAGGTACTTAGTTGATATAAATTCCTATTGCTTCCACATACCAGACTTCCTTGTATATTTTCTTCCTGCACGTGTAATTTGCCTGAGAGTAAACATTTTAAAATGCATCAATTTTTTTCTCCACATAATTTTACTCTTTGTAAATTATCATCAGTAACTCGTGGAAACTCTGAAACTTTTTAAAAGAGTTAAAAAGGTGTGAGCCTCGTTTACATAAATCCTGTTTGAAAACGGTATATACAGTTTATACAAAACCTTTTACTTGGCAGACTTTATAATTAGTAATGTTAATTTACATCTTCTTATTGTATTATGACGATAGTTCTGTGACACAGATATTATTTACCCTCTTTGCAGGATAGGTGAGAATCATAGTGGTTAAATAATGTCTGAGGTAAAGCTAAAATAAAAATTTTACTCATCTGTTTGTAAATCCAGTACTCTCTTCACGATTCCATGTTATTTTTCTGAAATATTAGCCTCTTAAATAATTCCTCTAAGCTTTTAAAAATTCAGAATTAATAGTCACCGCAGCACATCTAGAAGTGAGAATTTCATTTTAGGCTGTGAGGCTGTGGTTAGGTCTAGTTAGTATTGGGTCACATGATTCTGGACTTCTCTTCCTCCCATCATGTTTCCTCCTGAGACACATTTACTCCCATGCTTAATGTACACAGTCCTCGGATCAGGTAAGCATAACCCAGATTTCTATACATAACACCACTGAGCTAGCTCACTGTTCCAAGAGTATGTTGTTTTGGCTTTCCAGAGACTGCCCCCTTCCCCTTGACTTCATCTGGCCAGGGTCAAATTAGCCCTGTTTTCTCTTCCTTTTTTTCTCAAAGGTCTTTTCCCTTCATATTAGCTTATTAAAAAATAAAGCTGATTTAACTAATCTGACATATGATATTCATGGCTTATCCCTTCCCCTTTTCCTGATAGTAAACCTAATGAATTTTAAGGGAATACAGGGAAGATTTTTAGAAAGGCAGTCTTCCTTTCCAAAATCTTGAGATACTGAGATGTGACAAATGAAATCATGTAAGTTTGACAGAAAATAAGATATGAAAGATTGTTTTTAAAAAAAATAATTTGAGAATAGGGAAGGCCTTTCTAACCATAGCATAAAAATTGACAAGTGATTTAAGAAATTCTTAACAATAACTACATAAAATGAAATTTCTGCACAGAAAAAACTCCTAAAGTCAAAAGACAAACTGGCAGAAATATTTGCAGTTCATACATACTCAAAGGCTTAACTTCCTTAATATGCACATCAATAAGGGAAAGAATAAGGATAAAACAGTCAACGAACAAGAGTAGTTCACATTATAATGGATTTTAAATATATGAAATGAAATTCAATCTCATTCACAATTAGAAATGCAAATTAAAACTATAATGAGATACTATTTTATCTGTTGGGCTACAAAGAACAAAAGATAAAGAAGTCTGATAATTCCTTGAATGAGAAAACAGGCACGTTCTTTCACTACTGGACAATTATACTACCTCTTTAGAGGAAAGTAGGCAATATCTTTCAGATTGAAATGCATATACCCTTTGACTCAATAATTCTATTTATAGGAACTTACCCTACAGATATAACACCCATGTAGCCAAAGAACTACATACACACAGTCCCCCGACTTAAGATGGTTTGACTTACAATTTTTCGATGTTATGATGGTACAAAAAAAGTACGTATTCAGTAACAACTGTACATTGAATTGTGAATTTTGATCTTTTCCTGGGCTAGCTATATGTAGTATATTCTCTTGTGATGCTGGGCAGCGGCAGCCGCAGCTCCCAGTCAGCCACGAGATCACGAGGGTAAACAACCAATACACATACAGCCATTCTATACCCATACAACCAGTTTTCCACTTTCAGAAGAGTATGCAATAAATTACATATTCAACACTTTATTACAAAGTAGTCTTTCTGTAAGATAATTTTGCCCAACTGTAGGCTATAAGGTAAGTGTTCTGAGTATGTTTAAGGTAGGTGAGGCTAAGCTTTAATGTTCAGTAGGTTAAATGCATTTTTTGATTTATGATATTTTCAATTTACGAAGTTTATTGAGCTGTAACCCAATACATAAGTCAAGAAAGATCTGTACACAGATATTAATTGCAGTATTGATTATAAGAGCAAAAGGTTGGTTGATTAATAACTAATTAGAAATATTATGCTACATCCAATGGAATACTCCGCAGTTATTTTTTAAAAGAGGCAGATTTTACATGTATTGTTAGGGATCCTGTGCCAAGATACACTGATAATTCAAAGAGCAAGTGCAGTACAGTGTGTGATGTAACTATTTCTCTGGACCTATGTATGCTTCGTTCTGGGAATGGGGACTGGGGAACAGAGACGTAGGAGACTTATTTTTCACTATGTACATATGTTTCCTTCTGTACAATTTGAATTTTCACATGAATGTCTTTTTCTCTTCTAAAAAGCAATATAAATTAATACAACTAATACTAATTGGCCTCCTTCCCCACTTAGCACCAGGCTAGCTCTTCCTTGGGGAAGGAGAAGCAGAGAGTCCCGCTGCCCTGCATAAACCTCTTAGCATCCTTCTATCCTGCCTAGTTTCCTATTAATTTATGAGACCTCTGCTGCCCTAGGAGTAACTTTTACTGTAGAGGCTGGGAGGTATTTCTCCCCACCCCAAGCAAGTTCCAGAATTTGCTTTGTCTTAGTTTATAATACATCTGTCAAAGGTAAGTATATCTGTCAGCTAGATTTTCTCCCCCCAGAATTCTGGGGCTATTGGCACTCATTGTCAGAAGAGACAGGCTTAGCTAACTGGGAGTTCCTGGGTTATAGATACACAGTCTCCAGAAGAGCCTCAGAGTAGCTTCCTGTGCTGTTCGGCTAGCCTCTTTTTCCTTTATAGCCAATTACCAAATGTTTATTTGGATTAGTAAAAATATACTAATTTTAATAATCTATGTGGATTATTTCCCTAATGAATCACTGCCTCAAATAATTATGCCATAATCACAGTTACATGTCATTAAATGTGTCACGTTAATATTAATCTAAATGTTATCCAATTACAACAAAAAGATTATTTATGTGTGCTTAATTGTCATAGCTGGTTGCTCAGTTGGCAGTGCTCATTTATTAACAGCTAAAAAAAGTAGTGATTCTCAGTCTTCTTTATCTTGTCCTATTTTTTTGGCAGAGTTGGGGGGTGGGGTGGGAGTGAAAAGGGAAATGCAGAATCTCCCCTGTTGAGAACTCCCTTAGTTCACAAGGCAGCTTAATACCTGTGCTACTTATGCCTGGCTGGGGAGAGGGGTGGGGTTGGCAGCACAGGGTGGGCACAAATCACACTGCTAAGCAGCACAAAAGATAGTGGTGAACACTCAGTGAAGAATAACTGTGAAGTCTTTCTTACTGTTACAGGGAAGAGGGGTTTCACGGAAAGAAATCAGAAGCGGCTACAGAGAAACAGAAATTAGGGTACCCACCGATTGCTCCATTTTACTGCATGAAAGAGGACGTCCTTGCTTACGTGTTTGATGACGTGTGGAGCAAGGTCCTAAGCTGTATGGAACAGTTGACACGTAGTCACTGGGAGGGATTTGCTTCTGGTAAGGCTCTTTGTGAAAACAATATAAAAAAATAATTGTTTTTTGATTTCCAAACCCTAACCAGTCTATTAGATTATGTGCTTAATTAGTACCAAAGAATCGTATTGGTATTTCTCATAGAAACTAAAAGATATTTAGAAAATGAGTGGATGAGTAACAAAGCCTAGTATATGATGACTAGATACTGTGCTTTCTCTTTGAATATAATTATTTGTGAGGAAAAAAAAAACTCCTGCAAGTGACAAACACATTTTTAAAACTTCTTTATTGAAGAATAACTGATATACAACAAACCATGCATATTTCAAGTGTATAACTTGGTGAGCTTATGTATGCAGCCATGAAACCATGAGACAGCCAATATGGTGAACAAATCCATTACCCCCAAAGGTTCATGATTTTGTAATCCCTCTCTCCTGCCGCAGCCCAACCCACTATCCCCAAGTGACAGTTTATCTGCTTAAATGGAATCATGTAGTCAGCTTCTTTCACTCAATGTGATCATTCTGAGATTCATCCATGTCACTGTGTGTCAATAATTTATTCTTTTTACTGCCGAGTAGTATTCCATTGTTCTACAATTTGTTTATCCATTTATCTGCTAATGGACATTTGGATTGTTTTCATTTTTGGACTATTAAAGCTGTTATGAACACTAGCGTACAAGAATTTTTTGGACACATATTTCCTAGTCTCTTGAGTAAATTTCTAGGAGTGGAATGGTTGGATTATATGGTCAAATGTATATTAACTTATTAAGAATTGTTTGTCTTGGTTTTCTGTGTTGCACAAAAAAATGTCACACACATTGATTATCTCATAGGTCTGTGAGCCAGAAATCCAGGAACAGCTAGCTAGTCCTTTACTTAGGTTCTCACGGGGCTGCAATCAAGGTGTTGTCTAGGGCTGGGTCCTCACATAGAGGCTCAGCTAGAAAAGGATCCACATCCCCTTCGGTGTGCTCTTGGAAGCATCCATTTTCTTGTAGCTATAGTATTCATGGCAGATTTCTTCTTCAAAGCCAGCAAGAAAGACTTGAGAGCCAATCTGCTAGCAAGACAGAAGCTCTATAATATAACATAATCGTGGCGTGACATCCCATCACTTTTACCATCTTCTATTTGTCTGAAACAAGTCACAGGTCCTGCCCACACTCAAAGGGAGAGAATTAAACAAAGGTGTGATCACCAAGAGGTGAGAATCATAGGAGGGCCACCTTAGAATTTGTCCACTACAGTATTCCCACTGTCCCCCAATGATTCATGTGCTCCCACATGCAAAATACATTCAACTCCCCTCCAGGGTTTCCAAGAGATTCATCCTAATATAGCATCGGCTCTGAAGATTTTGAATCAGGTCCCAGTATGAATGCAGTTCCTGGATATAAGTGAAGTCACTGGGGTACAATTTCTTTCCACCTATAGACTTGTGAAACTAAAGGTTATATACACAGATATATGAACATCTGACTATATAATCCACCCATTCCACTCCTAGAGATGAATTATTTGACCCCAACATACCCAACATACAATAGTGGGCCAGGGCAAGGATAACCACTGTAGACACTCCAGTTAAAAGGCCAAGGGAGTAGGTGTAAAAAAAAGGTCCATAGCAATTCTGAAATCCAGCTGCAAAAATATTGGGAGTTCCTTCATTAAGTTTCAATGCCTGGAAATAATCCTCTCAGTTCTCTGCTCTACCCTCTGAGCTCTTGGTTTCACCCTGAGTCATCCCTCCTTTTTCATGAAAGGCAGCATATGTTTGCAACTAAGTAACTTCATTAGGCTGCTTCCTGCTAGTACAAATTTTAGAGTCTGATAGCTTCCCCTTATTTAGAACCTTTTGCTATCCAAAGAGATTGAGAATTTTCAAAATCATCAAATCTTGGTTTCTTTTTGTTTAATAGTTTTTCCTTCATTTTCTCTCTCATCTTGTGTTTTATTATAAGCAGTAAGAAAAAAAAAAAAACCAAACAGGCCTCATCTTCAGCACTTTGATTGGAAATCTCCTTAGCTATATAACCAAGAATCATTTCTTAAAAGTTCTGCTTTCCATATGAACACAGGAGACCATTTCACTAAGCTTTTTGTCACTAAATAACAAGCATCTCCCTTTGTCCAGTTACTAGTAACATGTTCCTCATTTCCCCCTGAGCCTTCCCCTACAGTGACCTCCAAATCCAGATTCCTACTAAGTATGTTCACAGTAATTTGTGTCTTTTTCTATCATGCTTCTCAAAATTCTTCCTACTTCTATCAATGAACAATCAAAAATAAAATTAAGAAAACAATCCATTTGTAATAGCATCAAAAAGAAGAAAATATGTGGGAATAAACTGAACCAAGGAAATGCAAGACTTGTACACTGAACACTGTAAAACACTTGAAAGAAAATAGAGGAAATCTAAGAAGTGGAAAGACATTCTGTTTATGGATTTGAAGGCTTAATACTGTTAAGATGGCAATATTCTCCAAATACATCTATAGGTTGAATGTGACTTTATCAAAATTCCAACTGCCTTTTTTGCCGAAATGGAGAAACTGACCCTGAAATTCATACAGAAATGCAAGTATCCTGAATACCCAAAACAATATTGAAAAAGAACAAAGTTGGAGGATTCACACTTCCTGATTTTAAAACTTAATACAATGCTAAAGTAATCAAAATAATGTGGTACCAGCATAAAAACACACATAGATCAATGGAGCAGAATCAAAAGTCCAGAAATAAACTCACACATCGATGGGCAATTGATTTGCAACAAAGATGCCAAGATCATTCAGTGGTGGGGGGCAGAAATGGTGCTGGCAAGGAATGTAGCCAATATTTTATAATAACTATAAATGGAGTATGATCTTTTAAAACTGTGAGTCACTATGTATACACCTGAAATTGTAAATCAACTGTCCATCACTTTTTGAAAAAGAAAATACAGATGGAAAACAAATAATGCTGAGACACCTAGATAGCCATATGGAAAAGAATGAAATTGGACACTTACTTCACACCATATACAAAATATCAACTCAAAATGGATCAAAGGTACACATTTAAGAGCTAAGGTTATAAAACTTTTAGAAGTAAATCTTCATGACCTTGGATTGGGCAGTGGGTTCTTAGATATGACACCAAGAACACAAACAACAATAACAAAAAACTACACAAACTTGACTTAATCAAAATAAAAAACTTTAGGGTATATCAAAGAACATTATCAAGAAAGTAAAAAGAGAACCTACAGAATGGGAGGAAATATGTGTAAATTATACACCTGATATGAATCCAGTATCTACAAAATATGAACAATTACAACTCAAAAACAAAAAGAAAAACAATCCAATTTTAAAAACGGGCAAACAGCTTGAAGAAACAATCTCCAAAGAAGATATATAAATAGCCAATAAGCACATGCTAAGATGTTCAACATCATTTATTAGGGAAATCAAATCAAAGCCCAAACCACAATGAGATATCACTTCATACTAGGGTGGCTGTATTTTTTAGGACAATAACAAGTGTTGATGAGGATGTGACATTAGAACCCTCATACATTGTTAGTGGGATGTAAAATGATGCAGCCACTGTGGGAACAGTTTGGCACTTCCTCAGAAAGTTAAACATAAAATTACCCTATAACCAAGCAATTCCACTCAAAGGTTTATATACGAAGAGAACTGAAGATATATCTACACAAAAGCCTTGCACAAATGTTCACAGCAGCATTATTTATAACAGTCAAAAAGTGGAACCAACCCAAACATCCATCAACTGATGAATGGATAAACAAAACTTGGTATATCCATGTGTTATGGGCTGAACTGTGTCTCCCTCAAAATTCATACGTTGAAGCCCTAACCCTCAATGGGACTATGTTTGGAGATAGGGCCTTCAAGGAAGTAATTAAGGTTAAATGAGGTCAAAAGGGTGGGACCCAAATCCTATAGGATTGGTATCCTTTTAAGAAAAGGAAGGGACACCAGAGCTCTCCCTTTCTGTGCATGCACAGAGAAGAGGTCATGCAAGGACAGAGCAAAAAGGCAGCTGCCTAGGAGCCAGGAAGAGAGGTCTCACTATAAACTAATCCTGACAGCACTTGATCATGGACCTCTAGCCTCCAGAACTGTGAGAAGATAAATTTCTGTTCTTTAAGCCATCCAGTCAGTGGTATTTTGTCATGGCAGCCTGAGTAACTAATACACCATGCAATGGAGTATCATTCATACATAAAAAGGAATTAAGTAATGATGCATCTTAAAACATGGATGAACCTTGAAAATATGTGAAAGAAACCAGACACAAAGGGTCATATGTTGTATGACCATATGATTCCACTGAATTGAGATGAAATGTCTAGAACAGGCAGGTCCATAGAGACAGCAAGTAGTTTAGTGGTTGCCAGGGGATGGAGGAAGCAGTGCATTGGGAGGTATGGGGTTTCTTTTTGGAGTGAAGGAGAATTTCTGAAATTAGAAGTGGTGGTGGTTGCACAACACTGTGAATATACTAACAGCCACTTAAGTGTATACTGTAAAATGCTTAATTTAAAAACAGCAAATTTTGTCTCACTAAAAATTTAAAAACATGCTGCCAACCTGAAGGATGTCCTCTAAAATTTCTTGTATGTGGGTCTGTTGCTAAGAAGTTCTTTCTTTTGAGATATGAAAATTATTTTGCTTTCATTCTTGCAAGATAGTTGTGCAGTGTATTTAAATTTAGGTGGACATTCTCTGTACTTTAAAGATGTTCACTGTCTTCTCACTTGCACTGTTTCTGACAAAAAAAATCTGATGTCATCTTTTATCATTGTTGTTCCTGTGTTCATGTCTTTTTTTTTTTTCCTTTGGCTGCTTTGAAGATTGTTCTCTTTATCACTGGTTTTGAGCATTTGATTATTAGGTGCCTTGATGTAATTTTCTTCATGATACTCCTGCTTGGAGTTTGTTGAGCTTCCTGGATCTGTTATTGTTTTCATTGTTTGGCAAGTTTTCAGCTGCTATTTCTTCAGATTTTTCTTCTGTCCTCCACAATCCTTCAGAACTCCAGTTGCTCATATATTAGTTCACTTGCTCACTGATCCCTCAAATAAGCGATGCTTTAAGCAATTTTTTTCTGTATGTGTTTCATTTTGGATAGTTTCTATTGTGCCTTCCAGTTCCTTAATCTTTTTCTTTTGCAATGTTGAATCCACTGTTAAGCTCATTCAGTGTATTTTTCCACTTGTTTTCTATGAAGTATGATTAGGGTGACTTCTATATCTTCCATGTCTCTAACTTTTTGAAAAAGTGGGATAACTCAAACACGTGTGTGAATTCTGGGTTGGTTTCAATGATTGATATTCTCCTCATTATGAGTTGTGTTATGCTGCATAATATTCTTTGGGTGTCAGACATGTGAATTTTATCTAATTGGGAGGTGAATTTTTTTTTAATTTGTATGAATCTTCTTAGTCTTTTCCTGGGATGCAATTAAGTTACTTGGGAAAAAAATTAATCCTTTCTGGTCTTGCTTTTACAATTTGTTAGGCAGATCTGGAGCAATGCTCAGTCTAGAGCTAATTATTCCCTAGATACTGAGACAAGATCGTCCTGAGTACTCTGTCCAATGCCCCATTAATTATGAGTGTTTCCAGTATGGCTAGTAGGAGCAGGCACTATTCTTGGTCCTGAGTGAGCAGCAGGCATTGTTCCCTCTAATTGTTTTAGTTGGTTCTCTTCCCTAGCCTCAGATAGTTTTTGTTCATACATGCATTGATGAATACTCTTTTGAGTACTCAGAGGACACCCCATATTCTGAAGATATCCTGGGTTCTCTTTCTGTGCATTTTTCTCCTCTGTGGCCCTGTCCTATGAACCCTAGCTGTCTTGGTCTCTCTGCACTCTCAAATCGGGGAGTCCACTCGGCCCAGCCTTTGTTCTCCCTCTTTGTGTCTGTCTTGGAAACTCTTTCAAGGCAGTTGCAGAGCTAGCTTCATTTACTATCTCATGATTCACTATCTCTCATTACCTGATGTCCAAGGTCTTAAAAGCCATTGTTTCATGGGCTTATTTGTTGTTTTAAGCAGGATGGTAAAGCCTGTCCCTGTTACTCCATCTTAGCAGGAAGCAGAAGTCCAGACAACATATTTTAAACTTATAATTAAAGTATATCTATATAGAGAATTGCAAAATGTTTATATCAGGTAAGCTTGATTAATTTTTAAAAACTGAATCCACTTGTATGACCAGTGCTCAGATCAAGAACAGAACATTACCAACACTTCAGAAGCCCCTCTCATGGTTTCTCTCAGTAAGTTACTAAACTCGTACCCCTCTAAGGGCAACCCTATCTTGACTTACATAGCACCACAGGTTAGTTCTACCTGTTTTAAAACCTTGTAAGAATGGATTCATATATCTGCCCTTCTGCACTTGGCTTTTTTGTAACTCAATTTTATGTTTATTAGATTTGACTGTTCTGTATGTAATAGCTCATCTTCACTGTTATATTGTATTTTATTGTATGAATACATCCCATTCCTCTGTTGATGAATATTTAGGTAGTTTCCAGGTTACATTTGCCAGCATACAGTGCTGTTTTGATCATTCTTGTATGTGTCTTTTGGTGAAGATAGGTACTGGGTACATAAGAATGGCATTGCTGGGTCATTGGACATGCTATTCCACATTCAGTGGACACTGCTACATTTTTTTCCAAAGTGGATACACCTATTTGTACTCTCTCCAGTGTTGTATGAGAGTTCTAGCTGCTCCACATGTTGGCCACACCTGATACTATGTGATTTTTTTTTAAAGCCACTGTGTTATATGCATGTTAAGTTCCCTTTTAAACTTGGCATTTGAGAATAATAGGTCTTAACACCCTTCTTAAAACTACTTGCTTTATATTATGTGAAGTTAAGTTTTTGGAGATACAGGACAATACCCAAACTCCAATAATAATAAACCCTGGTAATAAAGGAATTCATCAGTTTTCATTATCAAACAGGGATATCAGAGAAAACTTTCACTTCAGCTTTCACAGGTTACTACTATTGGGCTGTGAATTAATATCCTTTTTTCTGTGCATCCATAAATTTAGGTTATTTTATTGTATTATAGTTGCAATTTTGAGACAAAGTCTGCAAAGAAGATACTGATCTTAAAATGTAGCTGGAGGATCTCTGGTTTAGTGGGCTGATGGAAATGTCCTAAAATAGGGGTCAGCAAACTTTTGAGTACAAAGATAGTAAATATTTTAGTCTTTGCCAGCCATCCAGTCTCTATTGCAACTACTCAATTCTGCCATTAAAAGCAGCCATAAACAGTGTGCATATAAGTGGGTGTGGCTGTGTACACTCCTAAATACTCAGTATATGTTCCCCAAAGACATGTATAACAGCACTGTATGCTGAAAAACATAAGCAGGAAACTACCCAAACATCCCTCAACAGTATAATGTGATACAGTCATACAAGGAATATACAGTAATGAGAATAAACAAACTACTGCTGCAGTTTTACTTACAAAAACCAGCAGCGATAATGGGCACCAGGTTTCCCTAGTCAAGTGGCTATTTAAATTTTAATTAATTAAAGTTAAGTAAAATTTAAAATTCTGTTCTCAATCACATTAGCCAAATTTTAAATGCTCTATAGCCATGTGACCAGAGCTGCTATATTGGACAGTGCACATGTAGAATATTTCCTTCAACTCCAAGTGTTCTTTTGGACAGCTTTGCTCTAAAAATCTTTGCTTCTCCTCTGCCAGGTATCAACAGGCATCACCAGCCTAGGAAACCACTTAAAAATAAATTCATGGTTTGGAGAATTTTTTTTTTTGAAACATGCAGGTGGTATGAAATTGGACTGCAAAGATGAGTGAAGCTGAGCTTGACAGCATGAATTCTCAAGGGAGATTTTTCTTCACAGTACTGTTGCTGTGGGTCTGAAGATATCCATGGATAATAGATTCTATTCCTTTGCTCAGATGATGAGAGTAATGTTGCAATCACCAGACCAGCTTCAGAAAGCCCCTGTGTGCTGAGTGAACCACAGCCTTTGGTCCTACCTCGAGTGCCACAGTCTAAGGTGCTGTCTGTCACCTCAAATCCGGTAAGCCCCACGGGGGAACATACTGGAGAATCTAGGCCTGCTCCTGCCAGAGGAAGTTTGCTAAGTTATTTGTCTTAATTATGTCATTATTACTTTTTTTCCAGTAAAGTTATATATTTATCACAATAATCCAGTGACTCTTTGCAGAGAGAAGTTTAATTTCAGTTTAAAAAATTAATAGCAAATTAGAGTTGAGAATTCTCAGGTAGCTCTTTGGAAAAGATATCTACAAGCTGTGCAATCTAGATTCAATTGTATGGTCAGGTTCAGTCTGTTTGCGGAAGAAAGGATATGACGAAAAGAGGGACCAATCTCAGATTTTCTATGGCCTTCTGTCCTTTGGTCTTCTTTTTTGATTTCTTCCCTCTTTTTTCTCTTATCTCAACCTACCTGGGTTTTATTTTTAATATTTGAATCTGTTGACTTTTTTGTCTTTTAGATGTTTAGAAATCACAACTCAGCTGTAAAAGGCAAATCAAAGAGGAGAAAATGGTCTCAAATAAATCTGCAGATAAGCATAAAGCAAAGGCAGCCATTTCTTGCAGAAGGTTGATGAGCCTGTCTCATCCCTGTGTAATGATTTATGTAGTCCCAGTTCCTACATGATAGCTTCCCAAGGTTACTTGTTGGGAGCAGGGGAGGGATAAAAAGAAAGAGAAAAGGATTCTAATCCTTGGACCATGCTCATCGATCCACATTAGTATCTGCTTTGTTGGTATGCCAGCCAGATACTGTACAGCTGGATTTACAAAAGGACCATTTAAAGATAAACTCAGCAAGGCCCACACCTTACCACACTGGGGGATGAACCAGGTAAACTAATATTCCTTTGATGGTAGTAAAATACTTCTACATGTTGAGCTTTCCTGGTTATGGTTTAGGTAGCCTAAACCTGAAATAGTTAACTTACATGGTTCTGGCTGTCAGTGACCAAAGGAAGGAGAAGCATTAATAGAAACACTAGAGAGAAAGTAGGAGGAAGGTGCAGGCTTTCGCAGAGTAGGAGCTGGCCAAAAAGGGCACTGAAATGACTATCTGAGAGGGAAAATAAACAGGACACTAAGGTGGCAATATAAGTCCAAGTAAGATTACATCCTGCTAACATGAGAAAAAATAAGATTAACACTTTCTAATAAAGTCTTCAGAATTTAGATTATCACTGAGAGCTGAGTGCTCCAGGGGTAGTTTAGGGGAAAGGATTAGCTTGTGCAGAATATAGGACTGTGTGATGGTGAAAGCGATTATATTAGTTTACTCTTATTTATTCTACCTTTGTACCATATTTTGTGTTTTCTAATGTAATGTAAATAATGATAACAAAGGTCCTCTCTCCCCTGTGAGAGTGGTTGTTAATTGCTTTCATCTAGATTGATCAGAGTTCTCCAATCTGCTGTCATTTAGAAATGGAGAGGAAAGTACTCTGATCCTGTCACCTTGACAGTAGAGTTGCAGCCCCAGCTGGGCTATTGGCCAAGATGTTAAGACATAGGAGAAAAATGTATAAATGACCTAATTTGGAAATATTAGTTTTTGGCAAAGTTGGGAAACTAAGTATCTTCACCAACCAATAATAACATCTTCTTTTACATGTAGATGAGTCTCTGTCAAGCAGCAAGTGGTCATCAGCCAAATGTGAACGGTCTCTTGGTTCATGGGATGCCTCTACAGGCAAGAAATCTCTCCCTAATGGACAAGCTCCTGTAAGAAGTATAAAATTTTAATAGACTATAGAGTTTAAGTAGATCACTGAGAAATAGAAGGAAAGCAAAGTCAGTCAGTCAATGTGCATGTACTGAGTACCTACCAAGCAACCAGAAACACATGGGGAGTAAAAATACCTAAGGAAAATGGTCTCCACCTTCAAGCAGCTGATAAAGTAACTGGAAAGAGAAGACACACATGGGTAAAGAGACCTAATCCTACAGGGCATTCCTGTGACTGAGTGCCAAGTATGTGTACTCAGTGTGAGCACTATGGCAGACCACAAAAAGGGAGGCATTTTGGTGGATAAGTGTAGATTTTGAACTTGTCCTTGCAAGATGGAAGTCTGGATAAGCAGAGAAGAGCAGCAATGCTATCCTAGATAGAAATGTGTGGGGAAAGGATTGGAGACAAGAAAATACAAATATTTAGAAGAGAAAGCAGACCATTTTTGCTATAATAGGATAGGACGAAACAGATCAGAACTTAAATATTCTGACCAAAGACCACTGACAATCTTCTAGAATTAAAATGGATGCTAGTGTTTGTGATTAGTGGGAAAGACAAGACCGAAATTAATGAATGTTGGGACCAGACTGTGGAGGGTTCTGAATGTCATGTTTTTGAGATCCATCCATGTTGTTGCATGTGACCTTCTCTTTTACTGCCAAGTGGTATTCTATGGTAAGAATATACCACAATCTGTTTATCCATTCTTCTGTTAATGAACACTTGGGCTGTTTCCAGGCTGGGGCTGTTCTGTATAAAAGCACTATAACTACCTTACACAGGTCTTTCTTGTGGACCTACGGTCTCGTTTTTCTTTGGTCAATACCTAGAAGTCAAAGTGCTATAGGATAGGTTAACTGTGTGCTTAATTTTATAATAAACTGGCATATAGTTTTCCAAACTGTACCATTTTACACTCCCACCAGCAAGGTATGAGTTCAGTTGGGGAGCACATATATTTAAATCAGGAATTTGAAAGATACGTTTCACAGGAGTAGAACATAGACTGCCGCAGGGGGAACTTTTGAAAGGTAAGGAGTCTAATGCAGGAGTTCAGGCTGCGCAGGGTCAATACTCAAGTTGTAGCAAAGAATAAAAAAGGAGTAAAATATTTTAGGAGATACAGTAAAAGAAATCAAATTCTGTAAAAATAGAGAAATTAAAGTCAACTCTGAGATTTCAAGCTCAAGGGAAGCTTGTTTTGCAGACAGAGATGATTCTGGGGTGTGGGATGACGGGCCATCTCACGGGAAATATGGAAGAAGTCAGATCTGGAGGTTGACCTAGAAGTCTGGACATGACAAATCCAGAGTTATGGATGAGTAGTCCCAAGGGAAAATAAAGATGAACAAAGAGCAGCTAAGGCCTAAACCTCTAATTAGAGAGCAGTTAGGGTGTGCAAAGAAAAGATCCAGGTGAATGGTTAAGGAGTCAGGAAGACTAGAAAGATCCCTTGAGAGTAACACTCAAGGTTTAGCCCTATTCCACGACAGGCATTTTCCCTTCAAAGTTCTCCAAACACCGAGGCATATTTTGCACTAGAGGACACCAAAGTGGCCTGAAAGATTGAGGAACTCGCTGAAAGCCAAGAGCACATGGCAGAGCTTTCTTCTTTCACTTTCCCTCCAATTCATGGTGTAAATACTATCTCTTAGGCGCCTTACAATAGAATCAAATGTTTTCTCATCTGCTTAAAAAACAAAAAGAAAATCCCTGAACCTACAGGGCAGAGTTAAAGCTACCAAACTGTTGGGCATGGTATTTTATTCATCAGAGTACTGAGAGAAGTGTTGTATTTCACAGTTGTTTATGCAAATAAGGACCTACTGCCCTGAGCTGCACAAGGTTCTGGACCCTTTGCCTGCTCCCAGCTTTCCAAGGAACCCAAACCCTTACCCCTGTAGGCTCCAACTAGCTCAGCATTATTATCTCTGCAGTGGGAGCCACACTGGTGCCACACCACTTCTAAGCAGCAGTATTTGCCTTTCAACTAAATCTTTCTGATGATGTTCCTTCAACACAAAAGAATCTCACTCCCTGAGGTAAACTTTTGGGAAGCACTTTGGAGTAGATACCCTATAGGTTACACTTTACCAGTAACTGAAGAAGCGACTGTGATGGCAGGTGAATAATGGACTTGCTTTCCCAAATCTCCATTCTAGTAAATTATGTGTATGACTGAACTGATGTCCTTCTTTTAAGAACACATTCTCATGCCTGAGCTGTATCGTGGAGCTTCTAGAAACTTGGTTATTTACTGAATGGTTTCTCTTTTTGCTCTCCTGAATGAATGAATTTCAGTCTAGGGCTTTTTACCATTTGAGACCTGTCTCCCTGTACGGAGCAATCTTGATTTCATTGTGGGTTTCTGATTTGGCCACTAGAGATCTTGATGACAAGCTACTTGTGAGGCCTGGGTCCAGTACCATCCTTTCAACTCGAAATTGGCCAAATCGAGCCCTGGAGCTTAGTACATCATTTCTGTCATATACAGTGCAGTCCGCCAGGAGACGCAATCCCCCACCACGTACCCTTCATCCCATCAGCACAAGCCATTCACGCGCTGGAACACCAAGACCTGTGGAAGAAATCCTCAGAGGATCCCGAGTGTAGGTTTCAAAAGCAGAATTTGTGGAAACTATGGTAAAACTAATGAAGAAAAATTTTACATAGAGAATGAATTTAAATGTAAGATTGAAATATACGCCTAGAAGTTAACCATTACATATTCTTATGATGGATTGCACACTGGTTCAAATCTAATACAGAAAAAAAGGGGTTAAATTTGAATGAAATAAAGATACTGGATCTTCCTATTGATTTAGCTAAAGATTTATATTTCTACAAATAAAATGTTGGCTAGATTACTTTAGCAGTACTCACCAAAGGAATAAAAATATATATATTTTATTAAAATATTTTCCTTAGTGGGAATATGCTCAAATTCTTTCCAAAATAATAGCTAATTTGCCTTTAATATTTTTCTACACCATGGGGATCCTTTTATTCCACTGACAATAAAAAGCTTCATAAACCTCAGACAAGTAGTTGCTTATATACTAGGAAAAATGTCCTTTGGCACATCTTAGGAATAACACTAAACATATTCACTTCCCTTTTCCCACCTCATTCACTAGACACTCTGAGCTTCATGATGCAAAAAATACTTAGAAGCCCAGTTTTTAAAATAAAATTCTTTAATTAGTTGCTGATTTACAAAACATCTTAGAATGGTTGATTACTAAGACTATGATCAACGGTATGAAATAGTAAGTCCACAACTGTTTTGAATTCAGCTTCCAAATTTAGCACATCACTGTACTTCTCTCCCAACGTGTTACTTCTTGATTTTCCCTTTTAAATTTCTTGTTATAATTTAACCCAAAAGACTCACTAAAAGAGATGTCCAAAACCACGATAAGTCTTTGTTAGGACACCAGGGTTCTCCTCAGCTGCTCACTACTTTATGTGGATGTAGCTTTTATCTATTCCAGTATAGCTATATAGTCACTTGGGTATAAATGGCCTTGATGTATAATTAGTCTCTCACCCCCTCTGACAGTGCTTTCTTCAAAGTGGAAAAATAAGTTGCTTTGCTTTTTCTGGAATGTGAAAGTATCATTCAGTTTCAGTTACTGTCTTGGGTATGAGTAACACTGCAAACTGTTTCAAATCCCATTTAAGGAAATAAAAGTTTAGGAACTTTACCTGGGAATTATAGTTATTATAAGGCCCAGAACTGTGGAGAATTCCATCAGATGTGAAATTACAAATCTGTATTTGTATCACTAAGATCTCTTTACTTAAAAATATAGGCAGCCTAAAGCTTTCTGTGCAGACATTAAACTCACCGGCTCGATTTATTTGATTCTAATCAGTTTGCTTGTATTGTTGTAACTTTATGCTTGTTTCTTCATGTTTGCCGGTGGGATCCGCAGCCCAGTGGCAGCCGACTCGCTCTCCTCTCCCTCACCAATGCCCCTGAGTCGAAATAATCTGCTGCCACCTATTGGCACAGCTGAAGCGGAACACTTGAGCACTGTGGGGCCACAAAGGCAAGCGGTATGTCTTTCCTATTGCCTTTCCATGTGCTTATAAAACCTCAGTAATTCTGCAGGATCCGTGCTCTGGTCTTGACTTGTACTATATTTTGTCAGGAGTACATACTGAATCCTGATTTATGACAATGGAACTGGAACTGCTTGGCCTGCAGTTACCATACCTACTAAAGGTGATGTAAGACATGCACAGCTCCCACTACAAATTAACTTTCTAATTTTTGTCTCGTCTGCAGAAAACCCATGGCGATTCCAGTCGAGCTCGAAGTGCAGTGGTGGATGAGCCTAATTATCAGCAGCCGCAGGAGAGGCTCCTTTTACCTGACTTTTTCTCCAGACCCAATACAACTCAATCATTTTTGGTAGAGTGACATACTTCCTCTATGGTCTTGATAGTTGGGGAAAGAGAAACGAAAGGAAAAAAAATGTAGGTTGGCCGACTTAAGGCTTTACATACTGGCTTAATCAATTCTAAGGATAAAAGCTGAGGTTCTAACAATAAAAATAGTATTTTAAGTACATTTTGTTGAAATTATAACTGGTATCTGCCGCTCATTCTTCTAATTTGTAAAAATAATAAGGTAAAATGCCTTACACATAAATTGCAAATTCTTAACAATTTAAAGTTTAGATATTTCTGAGAATAAGCAAAAAATGTTAAACCCCAGTGCTTATCAGATTACCATTAACTTCATTCTCTAACACTACTCTTAGGGAATTACACCAAAAGTGGTTATCAGATTATGATGTGGACTGGTGAATGGGCAAGTTAAGACTTTCTTTTTTTCAAACTGATACTTGAAATGCTGATATTGCCTTACCATTTAATGTGTATTTACTAGCCCTTTTACTTTTAAACAATAGAAAAAAACCTGACTGGGAGATTGGAGGTCATGCTCTGACTTTGCCCAACTGTAGGCCAAGAGCTCAGCCCCACCTCATTTGCTTTGTGCAAGAGGGCTCGGTTACTTGGGCCATGCTTAGGGCCCAGGAATCAGGCACCAAGAACCCACATCCTATACTGTTTTCAAGATGTAGTGTTTGCAGCCTATTCTCAAATCATAACCCTTAAACTGTATCAACCTAAACACTAATCTTCCCTCCACTAGAAGAGTGGTGAGAATGAATGAATGGGACATTGTATCAGTTTCCTAGGGCTGCTATAACAAATAACCACAAACTGGGTGGCTTAAAACAACAGAAATTTATTCTTTCAGCTAGAGCTTAGAAGTCCAAAATCAAGGTGCAGCAGAGCCATGTTTCCTCGGTAGGCTTTAGGTAAGACTCTTCTTGCCTCTTCCTAGTTTCTGGTGGTTGCCAGCAACCCTTGGTATTCCTTGGCTTGTAGCTGCACCATTCATTTTTCCCTCTGTCTTCACATGGCCTTCTTCCTTGTGCCTCTGTGTCCAAATTTCCCTCTTATAAAGATGCCAGTCATTGAATTTGAGATCTACCCTAATCCAGTACGACCTAATCTTACTTGATTATATCTGCAAATATCCCATATCCAAATAGTCACATTGAGGAGTTCCAGGTGGACATAAATTTTCAGGGTACACCATTCAAACCAACAGACCTCAGGAGGCTTGATTTAGGGGGATATCCCCCAAAAAAACACAGGCAAAAGGAAAATGTAAGCATTTCTGATTCTGATTCTTCTTAGAAAGTTTGAGAACCTCTATTAAATATGTCTTTTCATAATCTGATCCAGGACATTTGTTGAGCAGTGTTTCCCAATTTTCTATAGCTTGATCCTCTACTATCTAACAATTTTTGGCTGCCTTAGGATTAAAACTAAACACATGAAAACATTTCAATTTCTCTTTTTTTCCCCAGATAGTTGTAACAATAACAAAAGTAAAAACTTCTTAGCTATTACTCTCCAGTTTGTTGTCATGAAAAGGAAGATGAACTAGTAGCTCAGTGTAACTAAGGACACTAGATCTGAGTCCTTAGCTGGCACTGCCAGACTCACTCTATTCCTTCATGTTCACATCTAGAATAGGAGTCAGCAAACTAAGTAAGGTTCATGGGCTGTTGGACTTACTGCCTGTTTTCATTGTTTTCTTAGAGCAGAGCCACTATGCTCACTCAATTTTGTACTGTCTATGGCTGCTTTCCTAGTACAATAGCTGAACTTAAATAGCTGCAATGATGGTTGTACCACAATACCTAAAATGTTTACTGACTGGCCTTCTACAAAAGTTTACCTATCCCTGATAGAAAACATAGGGCATCACCAGGAGAAAAATGCTCAAATCTCTTAATACCAATGCTATGACAGGATATTGAGAGGGATTTTTATTCCAGAAGTACCAGTGGGATGACATTGATAGCTTTTTTTTTGATATCTGCATTTAAATATTTTAGTCACATCTTAAAGAATTTTAAATCCCTTGAGGTAATTTTGAAATGTTTGAGTTCCACATTGAGAGTCACATTTCAAGCATGGAGGTAAAGTATGAGTGTTTCAATGTTGCTAAAAAGACTTCTGTTGTTTTAAGCAGTCAGCAGGCAGTTTTTAGAAACATTAGACATCTGGATTATTTAGAAATACTAAGATTTTCTCAAAGACTTATCAGTAAAGTTCTAGAACTTTCATCAATTTTTACAAGTTAACAACGTCTCTGTGGGTTTCTGGCTTGGGATTTTTCACTTGGAATGCAAGAATGCACTCAGCCAACCTGTCCCTTAGGTTGGCAGACGATGCCAATTACATTGTTGTCCAATATCAAGGTTTTCCCTTGTAAACCACGTAACACATTATCCTTTAGGAGAAGTTGTATTGTAAGACGTGTCCCATCTTTTCTCTTTTTCAGCCGGATACACAGTATCGTCGTTCATGTGCTGTTGAGTATCCTCATCAGGCCCGACCTGGCAGGGGATCTGCAGGGACAGGTGGAGCCATGGCTTTCATTTTATATCATGTGGTTAAGACCCTGCTGTTTTCTATGTTTATTTTTCCTTCCTCCTGTTTTTTCTACATCTTTGTAAATCACCTCAAGTTTACTTTGGAATATGGGATACAATTTTTTTTTAAATAGAGGACAACTCAATTGCACAAAGCCAAAAAGTTCCAGATTTCTGTCTTCTCATATAAATTAACCTCTTGCCACTGTGGCAAAGTAAACAGTACTCTGTTGGGTTTTTTAATCTAAAAAGTTTAGGCTAAATAAGTTATTTTCATAACATTCAAACACTGTATAGATTTTATTATGTAGGCAAAACACATATTGCTCTGGATTAAGCTGCTTTGGTCAGTTAACCTAGTAGGCCAAGGTAAGAAAAGAAATTCAAAATGTCAAGTCATGCAAAGTCTGATTCTATCCCATCAACTTTTTTTAATTCTACGTTATATTCTATAGTTTCTATTTTCATAGCAGTGATGGGAGAAAATTTAAGGATGTCTTAATTCTTCCTATAATCTTCTCACCACCATCAGGGTCATTTTGTCATGTTGTAGATGAAATTTAGAACTACCAGGCAGTTGAAATGTTTCCTGTTGATAATCAGATTAATCAACAAGTACATTAAAAAGTAATCTGCCTCAAACCATCTCTCCAGTCCAAATGAGTTCTATTAATTCAGCTCCTAGTAGCATTGTTTGGTAGTCTGAATGTTTTCTATGGATTCTGTTCTTGGATCAGTCCTCAGAGAAGCATTGCTGCCTCTGAGCTACAGTTATTACATGTGGCCATGTCTGATAGTCAGGTATAACTAGTGTGATATTTAGGTAAGTGAAACAGACATTTTATTTTAGTCTTTCTTAAATTAGTCATTATTGTCTAAAATTAGGTTACTGCTTTCATATCCTAATATAGATTTTGTTTTTACATAAATTATGTAAACGTGACTTTTACTGCCTTACTAAATATATACTTTACTACTTATTCAGTCTCCAAATTTAAAGTCTGATAATTGGAGCAAAAAAGTCTTTACGTATGAACTTGAGATTATCAAATAGAATGTCTACTAATGTTACTCTACGATGTCATCTTTCTCTGACAGGTCCTCAGTCACATGGGTATACAAAATCACAAAACAGAGGTGGACCAATCTCTCGAAACAGGAAGGGACCATAGGGCAAATAAGAACCTGCTTCAGGCTGCAGGGAAAGACGTGGGAAGATTTCACGAATCAGCGTTCAGTCATCTCATGATGCAGAGCTTGTACCCAAGAGACAACCTGAAACCATCCTCACAAAGAGTTATTTTGGTATAACTGAGAAAAAACAGCATGAGCCAAAGATTACATGTGTACTGTTTCTACCTCCAGTTACTGTCTTCTTTCAGCATAAGTTAACCATTCCACTGGACAGTAAAGATTGTACCCAAAGATCTGACAAATAATTACCCCCAAATCACTACTCATGTTGTCTGTTAACAATGATCAGTTCAATTTTTATAAGATTCTATCAGACCATACATACACAAAAACTATCAAGTGATTGATAACATTAAGTTATCACTGGCTTTGGAATACTTATGCTTGTGTTAATTTCTGGAAAGGTGTTATTACTTCTAAGTCATTTTTAGGGGACAGTGCTATCAAAAATCTGGGCTACTCATCAAGGAGATGTCATTCATTCCTCAAGCTTTCTCTTTAGATGTCCAATCCTGTAGGCAGATAGATATGGCAAGGGTGAGTAAAGACATAAATGCTGAGTACTGGTGTAAAGTAACTCATGTAATAAATCACAGTGCATTTTTTTTCAGATAGAACAGCTCAGCCTCATAACAGCTGCTTGATACTAGGTTATGTATGCTTCTTTTCTTCTTAAAGTACATTAGTGGTAGTTTTTCCAAATATTGAACTCGCCTTGCCAGACTTTCTCCTGCAGGTCTAAGAAAGGCAATTAAAAAATTTACAGCATCTTTCTACTAGTGAGCCAACAAGACACAATTCCTTAAAATTTCAGAAACTCTGGCAGTAAGTCCAGTATAAACACATCTTAAGAGCAGAGGAAGAGAACTTTGACATTCTTCTGATTTTAACATGAACCTTTCCTGAGTGCACTCATGAACGCAGCAATGGTTTTAACTATGGCTTAAATTTATATTTCATTGAATTTTAATTTTGATGATCATATCAGTTTAAGTAAGAGCTTATTGTTAATCTTCAGAGTTGATAAATTCAAATGATCATAAATTGGGGTAATTTTTTTATTATATCAAAGTGTTCTAATGCTATCTTATAAAGACAGATGCTTCAATCTGCATTAAATTATATTTTTAATACAATTAAAAAGACTATTTAACTTGTTTGTAATCAAAAGCTGAAAACGTGTCATATGCTTACCTCAGATAAACTGAATCTCAACAACAGAAGGCTTGTTTTATGCATATGGTATTAAATATATTGGCCAACAAATTAGGATTTCAAGTCTCTAAAAACTTCTATATTCTAATGAATTTATACCAATTCAACTAAATATAAGTGAAAATCTCTGTACTGTTCTCACAAGTCAATATCATGAGTACATACCAAACCACTGGATCAAGATGGCTTGCCTTTCAAGGTAAGCATTAACAGAAGGAGCCTCTAACAAGTCATTTAACCCACCTCCCTTACCCTTTTACAGATAAGGAAACAAGTTCAGACAAACTCAGTGACCTGACAAAGGACATTCAGCAGTTACAGGCAGGATTACAACATCTCTTTATGCTACTTAAACCAGGGCATCTACAATGCTCACTAGGACTACTTTTCTTCTCTTTTCTCTATCCTAAGCACCATTCATATTTTCTCTAGATCATCTAAAATGAACACACTGGAATCATTTAAAAAGCCTCCAGAACTTAACAGTCATATTTTACTTATTTAATCACGTATAAGTCTTATAAAGATGCATGCAAGTAATCTGAACCCGTTTGTCCGATATACATCAAGCAAAGAGTACAAAACCGGTTGAGTAAAACAAAAAGGAGAGAGTCTATGCAAGAATATTAAGACTGAAGGCAAACTGGCAAGTATTTGGAAGACAGATGTCCAGCAACTGTGCTGAAGGCCTTCTAGCTAGGTAGAGTACCTGTTTTAATAAATACACACATCACTGGATACTCTGCAACTCACTCCTACATGGCAAAATGACAACTGCTAAAGGAGGTGTGGACAGACCTGCACTCTAGATAGAGCTCCTTGTACAGAAGACCCACAGAAGCAATTCTGTCAAGAAGTATACCACCCTCCCCTGTTCCCTCAGTGATCACCACCAAATTCCATGATAAGAGGAGGAATGTCAGGATACTTCTAGAATATTTCTAAGATATATTAAGATTAGGTTGAGAGATTCTGCTTGGTTTACTTAGTTGATCTGAATAATTTAGGCTTGAAAGATGACTTTTCTCAAGGGCTGGGTTGACTTTTGTCTTCAAATCTTGACTATACCTTGCCTACGATGGTACCAATTAACACCTGAGGACATTTGAAGAGAAAATTCCATTATTTCTTCTCTTTCTTGAGAGTCGTTTTTTTCCCTCCTCGTTTGGAAGGTTTGCAGTACTTCGCTTCCATCTGAGCCAGAAAACTGTCCATTTCCTTTTGCCGATCCTTTTGTCTGCTCTGTTTGAGAGTTAAAACACAAGCTTTCAAAATAAGACTGTCCATCGAGATAAAGTACTTAGTGGCTGCCAAGGGCTGGTGGGAAAGCAGAATGGGGAGTGCCTGCTAATGGATAAGGGGTTTCTGTTTAGAGTGATGAAGATGTTCTGGAATTAGCTAGTGCTAATGGTTGTAAAATGATAAATATACTAAACACCATTGGCCTGTACACTTTAAAAGGATGAATACATGGTACATAACTTGTATCTGAAAAGAAAACAAAATGCCCACAACACCATACCTACTCTCCAAAGAAAATACTAGCAGTAGGAATCAGAACATGAAAGTAGCAGCTACTTTCACAACCTGCCAAATTTACCTGAATGACTGCTTTCAAGTCATCTACTCCTCCATCAAGTCCCAACTCCTTCCTGCTCATTTCTGCTTCTTTAGCCTCCTCCTGAGCCTAAAACAGAAATTCATGTGAGACTCCATTGCAACCCAGCAAATACTAAAAATACACGCTCTTTCCCAAAAGCAAATCTATGTTAAGACTTTCAGTTTGAGGACTACATAGATAAAAAGGATAAAATTACATAAGTGTGTCATTCATTGAAAGACAACAGTGCTGAGAGCAAGCAGTAGATTCTCTGATTCCAATAAGCATTTCTGAGTTTTCCCTATTTTTACTTGCTAAGGGTAAGCAGGTAGTTTGGTTTCATAAATCACATGGTGACAGGAAGGAAAACAAAATGCAAGGAGAGTTAGGAAAGGTCACTTAACCAAGGATGCCCTCAAAATGTTGCTCGAATAAACAGGCACCTCAGACTCCTCCGAAAACCCAATTTTACTAAGCTGACTGGTGGCAGCTTTGGGAGCAACCCTGGTTCAAAATTTCCCCAAGGTAGTTAGGATAAATGCTAGCAAATTCAGTTTTAACCTTTCTTTGCCTGATTTCAAAGCCAGCTCTTCTTGCCAAAGTTCACTAAGGCACTGATTCCAAAATACCACAAGAATACTTTGGGAAAGGTTAGTAAATTCATTCTTTCCTTCAGGACAACTAAGACTATAAGAGGCCCCAACCCCCCAGTGAATTATAAAGAGACAGTTTCCATTGTCTACTTTCAGTCCTTGGATTCAATTTATCTCTTTTAATACTGTATTCCCCTCTTCAAGTTTGTAAGAGTCTCAAAATTATGCCACCTACCTCCCTTCCCCAAAACTCTAGGGAAGTTTCTCCAGCTAATAGCCTATTACTGAGCACAGCTGTGTTCAGTTTCACCTAAAAAAATGATTACCAACTTAAACTGTCAGCCGGAATCTAGACAGATGTAGCCTATGAGCCAAAACGATGATTCTGACAAACTTGCCACTTCTCTCAACTCAGCACACATGTCAGCCTTCTCCTGTATCTCATATCTAAAAGCTGCAGCCCTACCTCCACCCCCAATTCAGCCATACAAAGTAAGGTACCCAACAAAGAACTAAAATCTTACACTGTCTGCTTTCCATGGAATTCCCATTATGAAAGCCAGGTTGAGGCAATGGTGACTTCAACACCAGTATGGTCTTTGCCAAAGGACCAGAGGCATAGATGTCTGCTACCTTGAATACACTCTTCCTCTTGTCCCAGATGTCCTTAAGCTCCTTTCTCCTGCCATCACCCTTACCCTCACCATCTCCACAGTTTAATATGGGTGTAAAGCACACACAAGCCACTATCTTTGATACTGCACAAAAGTATGCCTTGAAGTGTGTTTGGAAAGACACCTTCATCAAAGTAAACTAAATTGTTTTAAAAAGTATATTCTGGGCCCAACTCAATAATCAATCTGAGCAAGAACAAAGGAATCTGAATTAACAAGACACAGTCTTAAAAAAAGACAGTGTCTGTCACCTTCTCCCCATCCCTTAACCAAATGAGAATCACTGTCTAGCCTATGTCTCTGGACTCTATTACTTGATCTCCTGAGTAATACTTCACCAAAGCTACAAAAATTGGCCCATATGAAGACTATTTCAGTACTAATTTAAAATGACATTATTTAATCCATGCAGTATAATTCTCATGAGCACAATATAGTAGGGGAAGAAAAAGGTTCTCTTAATGAGCTAAAATGCTCATTTTATTAGATGCAAACTATAGAACACATTAACCCTTATTTCAGCAGTCATATATATATTTTCGTTGTTGTAAATATCCGCAAAAATTTTTACGTAACAGTCAAGATATAAATAATAAATAACATTCAAAATCTTACCCTTCTTTTCCTTGCATTCATCTTTTGCTTCGATTCTTTGACAAAGGCGTTATAGGATGGGACTTCTCCGGCATCAATGGCTTGTTGAATAATATTCCTTATCCTGGGTTCCTCTGCGTACTGCACACACAGCACAGACTCCATAATCTGATCCATGTCACCCTTGAAGTCCAAATAGGCCTGTTTAATATCAGCCAGCTCTTCTTCAGAACCTTTGTATGTCTTTTCAAAAGCTTGAATGTCTTCTAGAGATATCTGAACAAAAAGATGTATGCTTTAACTTTTGAAAATTTTAAATAAAAAGAATACTAGTGCACATTAAATTCAGGTGTTGAAATGTTTCTCCCCCAAATAAAACAATTGCTTGAGTTGAAACTATTGTATGGAATCAAATTTTCTATGCTAAAGACTTTTCAAAATCCTTCCTAGTCCAACCTTTACAACTGCTAAGCTACAGACCACGAAAATTTAAGTGAAGTTTCCAAAGGCGGGGAAAGACCCCAAAAAACACTCAGGACATACATTGAATACGTAAAATAAAGCGTATCTGTAAAAAAAAATCAAATGCTCCCTATTCACTACAATCACTCTGTATCAACAGAAAATTAGAGACCCATTTCAGTAAGTGTGTGTTATATGCGCTTGTGTACGAATATACACATGTAATAATTTGTTTTCAGATAGGCAGATGTCTCCTGAGTGATGATTCTGTGTATTTATTTATTAATGTTTTGAGGCCAAATAAAAATTCCTCATTCTTACACAACATAAAATGCAAGGCCTTCAATAAACGTTTCCTTGGGACTAGTCAAAAGGAAATCTCCAGAATCCTCTACCTTTTTAAAGAGTAATCTCCAATAGGTCTCCCAGTCCCGGTCTTGGCTGAGCACAACAGAATCCTCGTCCACTGTTCCCTGTTCATCGTACACTGCTCTCTGCTCTTTGTCACTCAGAACGGAATAGACCTTCCCGAGGATCTGCAGAAAGAAGCACCCAAACGTCAACGCCGCACCTCTCCCCGAAACCGCGCCGCGAAATTAGAACGCCAGGCCCAGCTGGGCTCACTCCACTCGGGCGGGGCCAGTCGGCCAGAAGACTGAGAGAAGCCCGGGCGGCCGGGGCAGCGGGGCCTTGAGTACCTGGAAGCGGCGGGTGGCGTCCTCCTTGTCGCCCTCGCCCACTCGGTCCGGGTGCACCCGCAGGGACACTTTGTGGTAGCCGCGCCGGACTTCGCCGTCTGAGGCCTCGCGCCGCACGCCCAACACTCGGTAAAGGTCGGCGGTGCCGAACACTTCCTCGCACAGTTCCAGAAGCCCCATGGTCCGCAGCAGCGCCGAGCGGGCGGCTGCCTCAGCGAAAACGGCAAACCCCAAAGACGCTGAGGAGAACTCCAGACTGCTTCCTTTTCCCGCGCAAAAAGCCCAAGGCGCCTGCGTCACAAGAAGCGCAGGAAGAGGCGGGGCCACGAGGCCGCACTTTACGGCGGCTGCAAATTGGGGCGTGACCAAGCCGCCGGCAGCCTGGATTGAAGCGGAGAGTGAAGCCGGCGTCCCGGTGTCTTAGCGCAGGAACCTCTCTTCACGCCGTCTGCTCCGCCGCCCTCCTCCCCTTACCGTGGAAACCTCGCATCTGTTTTCTCCCCAGTGTCCCAGCTCAGAAGCGTATGCAATATAAGGAGCGTTTATATCAAGTTGAACCTATGCACTGCTGTTTTGTTCTTGCTTTTTCCATTAAAAACAGCAAATCATCTGCATCTGGCCATTTCACATGGTTTAACATAGAATAAATGGATTTGTTCTTTTCCAAAGATCTGACAAGAGTACATAGAGCTCAGGGCCCAAATAATTTTGCAACCTACAAGATGGAACTGCTGGGTAGGAACTTTTCCCTTGAGCCCTGCAAGAAAAAAGCCTACGTTAAACAAAAGGCACAATATATTGGTCTTCTAAAAACTTTACCTGATAGACCTAGATTTTTATTACACAATCATTCCTTCACCTTCAAGCCTCTAAATCACTTTCCATTTTGGAGATAACATGATCCAAACCTTCTTAATAAAAATACAAGCTGTGGAAGCAAAAGCTTTTTTCTTCTTCTTTTTTTTAATGCTTTCTAAAGTGCAGACCTGGGTTTGACCATGTTGGATTTGAGATGATACCAAGACAGGCTGATGCAATCATTCAAGACAGTGCAGAATCTGGGCCTCGAAATCCAAAGCAAGGCTAAGGCTAGAGAAAACTTGAAATCAGGGAGAGGATGAGCTCACACAGGAAGATTCTGTATACAGATCTTAGACAAAGGATAGAACAGGGCACAAAATGAATACTTGAGTTGGCAGAAATTTAGTCACTCAAAATTATTTTCATTTCACATCAGTTCCCCTCACTGGTCAACATTCTCTTCTGCTGTACCTATTAAAGGTTTTCCAAAGAACTCAAACTCTCTAGGGTATATTAATATCTTTTAAGCCTCCAGAGTTCCTACAGTTTTCAAAGCATTTCTTTCCTAGATCCAAGATCAACGCCAGGTAAAGTCAGTTCTTTTCTTCTGCCTGTCCTGCCTTCAAAGTCACTTTAAAGTAAGTGGAGGCCAACCAGTGACAACTGTAGGAGAGCTTTGATGACCTCAGATTTTGAGGTAGCTGTTAACTATTCTCAGAATATAAAACCCAGAGAGTAAAATAGGTTGGTAACATTGATAAGGCTTTAGAATCTCCTCTATGTTAGTCTTACACCAGAATATAAAATATGTATTATCCAGGGTGCACTTAAACCATCTAATCCTTGCTTGTGGTTGTAAAATCCTGCAGTTCTGATGGATTAGACAATGTGTTATTTTGGGGGTTTTGGGAGGCACAAGTCATTTATATTATCAAATCATGATACCTAAACCTGATTCGATCACTGACTTTTTAGGTGGACTTTTGTAAAGCCTCTCATCTTTTGCTCACTCCCCCACCTACAGACAATATAACATGTTGGGAAGGGCTCTCCAGGCAGGCACATTGGGTCTGACTCTTAGCGCTGCTCAAAACTGAAACTATGTAGCCTTGGGCAAGTTTCTATTTCTGAACTTCAGCTTCCCCACCTATAAATTGGAGATAATCCTGTCTAATTTCATGATACTTTCTAATTGTCACATATAACCTTGCATGTAAAAGACCTAGAATGTATGTAAGTACTTTACAGTATTATCTTTCTTCCAGCTATTCACTCTTAAAAAGGAGGCTACTATAGCCTAAAGGCTCCTAACAAAACTACCTTTGTAATTTTGAGATAATACGTTGAACAAGAAAATGTAAATCTTCAATTACAAAAACATTAAATAATTGTATCATTGAGCTGGTAGGATGACCATAAATGATTAAGGAAGGAATTACTTGGACAGGCCATGGACATGCTGACTGTGGCTTTGAAACAGGGAAGTCTTGGAAGGCAGCAGGCTGTAAAGTTGTGCAAGAGACCCAGGGCCCAACTCAAAAGTACAACCCACCTCACAGCTACAACCCTTTCCCCAGATGAAGGCTGAAAAGCCTAATTAGTACCTAGGCCTAGCTTTATGTCAGTCAAGAACAAACCTCTCCCTGGGCCCTGTTCAGGCCAGGCCAGAAGAGCATGAGTGACAGAAAATTCCATTTATTGACCTCCAAATATAATAAAACTAAGAGCTCTGCACCACGTGTTTTATGGGGACTTTTTAACCTTGTTCCCACTGCTATGCTCACTGAAGTCAGCTTGCATATGTTTCTGTAGCCTCTGAATCTGTTTTCTGGGCGGCTAAAAGGACTTCACGTGCCCGTTTCCGTCGCAGCCTCTCAGCATTTGTGATCACCATGGGATGCAGAGGGAAAAAGCCAGAAAGACCTAAAAGTAACAGGATTTTCATTCATTATAACAATGGAAGTTAATGGTTCCCTGGGAACTCACCCTCACTGAAATGAGGTCTAAAAGAGACCTACCTGATCTAGTGCATGGATTCAAAACAAGTTCCTCACTTGCCAAAATGTTTTACCTCTTCCCCCAACTCCCTTCCCTCCACTTACTGCAAGGATGTTGTCTACTTCTTAACACTAGTCTCCTTACTTGAAAAAAAGATAAACTGACAGCCATTCAAGACACAGCATTCCCATTCCTCAGCATAAAATTTCAGTCACCCAAAAAGTCTCACAAAGGAGTCCACAAAAGAGATATCCAGATTCAAAATGGCAATTAGATCAATTTCAGTTCTCAATCCAGTCCTGATTACTCTGGAAATAATGTAAATCGTTATTAATTCCTATCATCTTGGAACTGACTTCAATTTAAAATCCCCTCAATGATCTAAGGCTAAAGCTGTTACCTAGAAGCTTTTCCACAGGCTTAGAGAGGTGGGCCCCACAGCCAATCCAATGCCGGATCCGATCCAGGTTGAGAGCAACGAGTTTCTCTCCATGACTGTTGGGCATTGGATCATAGGAGCCCAGCTGCTCCACGAAACGGCCATCCCTGGGACATTTGTTGTGAGCAGCCACGATGCGGAAGAAAGGCCGGTTGGTACAGCCACCCAGGGAAAGGCGGATGGTTAAGTGGCCTCCACGGTAGGCCTTGCAGAGGAGAGTAGCTGTAGAGAAATAAGGGGTTAGGACACAAAAACCGAGGAACAAAATGGACAAAAAGAGGTAATAAACAACCCCCCTCTTCTAGTGAAATGTCCTTACTTCCAATCAATTCTGGCTTACATCCCATTTTCTCTGTGAAATTTCTGTTACGCATCCAGCCAGAAATGACTTCTTTCTCATCCCCCAATCCACTCAGCACAGGCCCGTCATTTACTGGCTCTGTACCATGTCCCAACCCTGCTGCCTCATCTATAAACTTAATGTCATTTACCTCACAGGGTTTCCGCAAAAACTTAAAAAAAACAAAACAGACACGAGGGGAGGGTCAAAAGTGTGGCAGTTTGTTTCAGGTTCAGGTAGCCTCTAGCTCGCTTAGGAGAGCGCAGTTCCACCCGGTCCCGCACGCCCCCTACCCCCGCGAACGCCCAGAAGGTCTCCCGGGGCCTCAATCACTCACCGAGCCGGACCATGGCGCAGCCGGCGGGCGCCGGGGCCTGTACGCCAGTTGCCACGCCTCGGAGCTTCCCGCCGCCCGCGCGGATCTCCTCGACCACCTGGGACTGTGCCAACAAACCACGGGACAGTCTACGTAGCGTAGCCGCTGGGATCGGCGCTCTACGACCCCGATCCAGGATCCTCGGTGCCGGAAGCGAATGGTCCACTCGCCCCACCTCTTCCGCTCTCCGCCCCTCACTTCCCAGAACCCCAAACGTGAATTCCAACTGCTGCAGTAAGCGGCACTGCTATCTCGGGTGGCGGTGCGAGCCGAACCCTGTGGGTTCTCCTGGCCCTCACTGGCCTGAGAGTCCCTGCCGCAGAGAGGAGTATTGGGAGAATCCCGGGAGGGGCTGAGAAGTGCTACACTGCTCCATGAATCCATCTTTGCAGCCAACGTTTTTTGAGCACGTTAGGGCACAGTGCGGAGAACGCAAAGAAGGAAGGGCGCTGTCCCTGTCCCCAGGAAGCTGACAGTCTTGTCTGGGAGACGGTGAGGTTATACTAGACTAATAAGGGGTGGTCAATACACAGTTCTGAGGTGAGCAGGAGAGAAAGTGAACCTGATAATTCCTTGGTGCCTCAGGAAGATTTCATAAAGGAAGTAGCGTTATGGCTGAGACTAGAGAAGGACTACTAATATGCCTCTCACCTTCCCTCCTATTCTCCCACCTCCCTATTCTCTCAGCCTTCTCCTGTGAAAAATAAAGGGGTGGAGGGCTTTACTTCTGGTTTTGCTGTGCACTGATCAAGGAGGACAGGCAGGAGACAACGGTTCCTTTGTCGTAGCTAGCCCTAGAATAATCGCTTCTCAGTTATGAGTTTTGCATCTATTATAGGGTAATGGACTCTTCATGGAGCCTTTGTGGTTTAGATTCATAAAGATACCTTCAGCAAAGACCACTCTATTCAGCTGTTCCCCGTTGGATCCAAAGGATCTGGCCATAACTAATACATTCTTTGCCCTAACGCATTGACCCAGCATAGCTTGCTTCCTGTAGGCTCACCTTAGAAAATGCCTTAATTCCAAGTTACAGTAAGTGAACCTGGCCAGGGATTTCCTTCAAGAGTGATCCTGATAAGCTTTTACCAGAAACCCTAGTAATGAGCCCACCATACCTTAATTTTATATATATGTATATGTGTGTGTGTATAATATATATAAATTACATAATTATATTCTTATATATACCTCAGTATACTTTAGCTCCAGAGCCACACTGATGAATTCTGAACCTCTTATTTACACTTTATTACCATCCAGTTTACTATTAACCAGTAAAACATCTAATAGCACAGACATTCAGTAAGATAGCCAATAGAAATAAATAAGTGGGTTTCAATTTATGTTGAAGATCCTCTTTTTCTTTTTGAAGATTCTTTTTTTCTTTCTCCCCTGTCCTCATAAGGTGAGACATCCAGGATTTAATTTCTCTGGGAAGGAAAGGAGCTCAGAGCCCCATACAGAGAAGTCTTCAGGTGGACGGATGTTAGAAAGATGGATTTCCAAAGCCAACTGCTTCTTGTACCATGTGGATCTCTGCAAGCAGATTCTCATCTTTCAATTTTAGCTGCATCGAGAGGAGGAAGGGAAGGACACATTCATACCCAATATACCTACATGGAGACCCTTCACTTACGGGCCACAACTGAAAAACATAGTTCCTTGAGGTGGGAATGGCTCTTCCTTTATTCTCTATTTCACAGTAACTCTATTAAAAAGGCCTCAGAACATTGTGCTGGTTACATGGATGTATTCACTTTATGAAAATTCATCATGTGGTATGAACACTCACAATTGGGGGGTTGTATAATATATAATATATATATTTATAATAGTATAATAACTTTAATAAAGTTTATTTTAAAAGAGTTTACCATATTACCCAATATATCTTGACTAATGTATAATATTCCCATTTGGCAAGTGAAAGAAAGGAATCAAAGACAGATCTGAATTTAATATTAATATCTAGATGTACAGTAGACACATCTAGTTGCCTACTGAAAACCCACTCTCTCTTCTTTTACTAACAAAATCTTCATTTCTTTTCAGGGCAGCAATGTAGCCAAAAAAAGCCACATTTCCTGCTTCCCATGCAGCTAGGGGTTATTTCAATTGTGGCCAATGAAATGTAAGGTAGTCATATCTCTAAAGGGAGGTGAAATAGGTAGTATGGCCCCTTTGACCTTTCCCCGCTTTGTTCTTTATTGTGCCATGGATATGATGGCTGAAGCTACAATGGCTGTCTTGCAACTATGAGGGATGGAAACTGCATGCTATGGTTGGTGGAGCAGAAAGATAGAAAGAGGTCAGGTCTCTGATGACACTGTGCAGCTGTGGTACCAGTTCTGGACTTTTCATTAGATGAGAAACATTAAACTAATTTGTTTAAGCAACTGTCTTCCAAGTCAAATTACTTGCAATCATAACTGATAGACTAGACCAGGGGTTGGCAAACGATTGCTCATGAGCCAAATCCAGCCTCTACAGCCTTGTTTTTGTAAGCAAGTTTGAAACACAGCCACGCTCATTTGTTTGTGTATTGTCTATGGCTGCTTTTGTACTACAAGGGTAGAGTGTAGAAGTACAATAGAGACCATTTGGTCTACGGAGCCTAAAATATTTTCTGTTTTGCCCTTTGCAGAAAAAGTTTGCTGACCTCTGGACTAGACCAACACCGTCATTTTACATATGAGGAAAATGAGACCCAGGGAGGTTAACAAAAGATCTCCCATGGTAATATGTGGGTGATTATTCCAAACCCAGCAGCCCCATGATAATGAAATGCTGGAAAGTCAAGTCCTGAATTAAGCCAGCATCTTCCTCCCAGGTTCTCAAACTCAGTTCAGTACAAACAGCAGAGGTGTCTGCATCATACCTTCATTGTGTACTTGTAGGCCTGCTCAGCTTCTAGTTGCCGTCCAGCCTGAAAAAAAGAGCACCACCTGGTGACAATGGCACATCATACACGTTATGATGGGAAAATACATTGCCGCTATTTCTACCTAAAGCAGAGAATTCCATGTCTTCTTAGTTAAGAACCTCTGAATTCAAAAAGGAAGCAGGAAAATGAAACGTGGTAGGGAAAAGCAGATATTCTTAAATACATATATATGTATGTGTATGTACGTGTGTGTGTGTCTGTATATGTATATACATATATATACATATATATGTATATCTCCCTCCATTTCAAAAAGCTTAAAGACAACTTGGCTTCTTTTTTTATTTTTCCTGAAAGCACCATAAGTCATTTGTTTCTCTTAGGATTGAAGCTATTTTGTTAATAATAGCTAACAATTGCATAGTGCTTGCTTTGTGGTTTACATTTTTCAAATTGTGTACATTTTTAAGTGCTTTACTTTCATACACACTATTATTTATATTTATATATTATTCATGTGCCAATATTATTTATTATTTCCAGTTTACAGATACAGAAACCTAGGCACAGAGAGGATAAATAACTTGCCAGGGTTATAAAGCTAGTAAGTGGGAGAGCCAAGGTTTTGAAACAATGCAGTCTGGCTCCAGAGTCCAAGTTTTTAACTACTAAATATACCCTGTCTCTATGCATTAGAGAAAGCAGATACTGGAATTAATTTCATGCAGATCTGGATATGAGACAAGAATACTACTTCTCCCACTTGTTTCTTGCATGAAGTACTCATGTAGCACTTAAAAGTCTGAGCATAACAAATTAGCCACAGTATGCAAAGTCACTTGGGAAAGCTTAAATACATAAATTTGAAAACCACAAACTGTTCAGGTTAGAAGGGAACTTAGAAAAGATCAAAGTCCAATTCCCTTATCGTTGCTAGTCTGATGAATTTTTTACTAGTTCACAAAAGACGTCATTACCCAAAAGACTTTCCTACAATGTCTACACTTTGAAGTTTTCCCACCTGAAGTTCACTGAATTCCGGGGGCATTTTCCAGCCCATCTTCCTTTCCTATCATTATTACTTTGGTTTCACTTCTGCCATTGGGAGGCAGAGGCCCAAAGGATGGAAGGATCCAGAACAGCCAAAACAATTTTGAAAAAGAATTTTTTTTTGCTTATTATGGAAAATGCTGCAGTAAACATCCTTGTACATGTCTTCGGGTATTTTCCTTAGGAAAGTATCTAGATATAAAATTGCTAAGTTGTAGGTATGAATGTGACTAAATAATGCCATGTTGCACGTCAAAATAGTTGTACCACTTTACATCACTAGCAATCAGGAGAATTCTTATCATTGTGGGTGATATCAAACTAATTTTTGCCAATCTTATGGGTGTGAATTGCTGTCACATAATAATTTTAAATTGCATTTTCATGATTACTAGTGAAGCAGAACTTCTTTTCATATATTTATTGACTTTTACAATTTTTACTTCAGCCAATTATACATTTCTACCCTGTGACCATTTTTCAATCAGATTGTAGGGGTTTTTTTTCTTACTGTATAAACTATTTCTCTATTCTGGATATTAATCCTTTATTAGTTATAAATGCTGCAAATATTTATAATAAAGAAAGTCCCTAAGCTTTATTCTAGTGCCCTTTGTTGTACATGAATTTCCAATTTAAAAGTTGTTAATTTATTGATATTCTTATTTTTGCCTTGTGCTTTTACAGCCATAAGAAACCTTGCACACCTCAAGGGCAAAGAGGTATTCTCTATATTTTCTTGTAAATAGCCTAAAGTTTTAAGATTTAGGCCTTTAAACCAGCTGGAATTGTGGGGTGTGTGGGGTGTGTGTGTGTGGCTGTGTGTGTGTGTGTCTGTGTGTCTGGTGTGAGGTAAGGAACTGCTTTTTTTTTTCATATGGATAGCCAATTACTCCACCACTATTTATTGAATAGTCAGTTCATTTATTTCTCATTGGGGGGGGGAGCTTATAATCTTTTAAAAATAGATATATTGAGGTATAATTTACATACTATAAAATTCACTAATTTTAAGGTTCAACTGTGCAACCATCACCACAATACAGTTTTAAAAGGTTTCTATTACTCCCTAAAAGTTCCTTTGTGCCTGTTTGCAGTCAATTTCCATTCCTACCCTTGGCCCTAGAATCAATGATACATGTTCGTCTCTATAGTTTTCCTAATATCATATTTATAAATGGTACATATAGTATATACTCTTTTGTGCTTTGCTTCTTTCAATTAGCATAATGTTTCTGAGGTTCATCCATATTGTTGCATGAATCAGAATTTCATTTTTATTGCTGAGTTGTAGTCCATTACATAAATATACCACACTTTGTTTATCCATTCACTGATGGACATTTTGAATATTTCCAGTCTTTGGCTACTATTAAATGCTGAAATGAAATAGAGAAATCTTTGTGTGGACATATGTTTTCACTTTCCTTGACTAAGATACCAAGAAGTGGAATTTGCTGGGATATATGGTAAGTATATGTTTAACTTTTTAAGAATCTGCCAAACTATTTTCCAGAGTGGTTATACTAATTTGCAACCCTGCCAATTTCTCCACATCCTTGTCAACACTTGGTATTGTCAGTCTTTTTGATTTAGGCTATTCTAATAGGTGTGTAGTGTGTATCAATTTGCATTATGTTAATGAATTATATTTTAAATTGTTGACATAATTTCCGATTAAAGTTATAAGAATAGTTCTCTCCTTTCTGTATACACATGCACACATCCACAAACATATACATATACACATATGTAAGTATATATTGTAACTTTTCCTGAAGCATTTGAGAGTAAATTGCAGACATGGTGCAGTTTTAGACTTCAGTAAGTTTCCTAAAATCAAGACGTTCTCTTCTATAACCACAGCACAATGATCAAAATCAGGAGACTAGCATAAATATAATACTATTATCTAATCTATAGACCTCATTCAGATTTTTCCAAATGCCCCAATAATATCTTATATAGCAAAAGAAAATCCAGGGTCTTGTATTCAATATTCATGTCTTATGTTTCTTTTAACTGGGAGTTCTTGATTCTTTGTGTTTCATGATATTGGAATTTCTCAACAGTACAGGGCAGTTACTTTGTAAAATATTCCTCAATCTATATTTGTCTGATGTTTCTCCATGATTATATCAAGTTATGAACTTTTGGCAGGAATATCACAAAAACAATGTTGTGTTCTCAGTGCATCCTATTAGGAGGCATATGCTGTTCATCCCAATGATGGTGATGGTAACTTTGATCATTTGTTTCGACTATTATCTGCCAGGTTTTTCTGCTACAACATTACTGTGTTCTCCCTTGTAATTAATGAATATCTTGTTGGGAAATATCTTGAGACTATGTAAATATCTTTTTTTTTAACAAACAAGTTCACTCCTTTTAATTAACTCGTTCTCACCACAGCACTGTTAAAGTTGGCATCTATTCTGTAGATGAGAAAGCCCCGTTGCATACATTAATAGGTGGTCCAAGGTAAGAGGTGGGGCAGTGCATTGACTCCATGCTTCTGGCTCTACGCGCCGTGGCCTTCAGGACTGTAGCTGCCTGCAGAGTATACACTTCGGTAATATTCATTCCAGTGATTTGTGAGAGGCTCTCTTGGACTCCAGTCCCTCCTGCTTAGCCCATGGTGTTTGCTTCAGAACCTGCCACCAGTGCTTTCACAGCCATCCTGATATTTCAACTGGTAAACCACAGGGATGGGCTTGTATTCACCATGCTTTAACTTGTACTTATTTCTGGTGGGCCAGACAATAAGTTGGGGAGGGACTGAACTCTCAGGTGGCATCCTGATTATCCTTATAGCCTCCTGATTAAACCTTCCTTTGGAAGGTATCAGGGCCCTAGGGACTCACTTCTTGCAAGGAGACATTCTACTTCCTCCATTTCATCTTCAACTTCCTCTTCCAACTCAGGGTCTTCTGAATCCTCAGGAAACACAGTGTTCAAGGCAGCACTTTTCAACAAACAGACTGTCTTAATATTTGAGAAGCTGCTCACGTCTTTCAGCTTCCTGTCTCTCATACGCTTTTAATCTTTGCACACCTTTTGAAGTTCTCATTATACACCTCTTCAGTCTCATCATTCATGATCATTTCTTCTTTATATACACTTAATTTCCTATTTGTGACTGTTCTTTTTTTTTCCAACATCCCTTGGTTTTGCAGTCTGGTGATGCCTCTTCACCTCTGGAGGGAATTTGCTGGGGGGATTTCTTATCCTTCAAACCAACTCATACCGCACTGTATGTCCTCAACTACTTTGTTGAACTGGGCCAGCCAGGCAGGGGAGGAACCATGCCCCTCATAGCTGTTGTTTTCTACCTCATCATCTTCGACTTCATCCTGGTTCCTATTCTCCATCAGCTCGGCTCCCTTTCTCAAATCGCACTGTATGCCCTCACCTACTTCGTTCAGCAGCGGGCTAAGTGGGGCATTATAGGGGAATAATCATACCCTAATAGCTATCAGAATCTTAATAATCATCATCAGATTCAAAGAGGTCACTATACTTCCACCATGGGCACACTGGTCCTTTACTGCTTTCTGATGAACGTTCAGGGAATTTCCCAGTCATCATAGTGCTGACTCATGTCACCTGGGAGGGGGAGGGGGCAGGTCCATTTTTAAACTGATAAAATCTTTTGGGAAAACTATCAGAGATTTCTGTTCATCCTTTTGTTAGTAATTCATTTATGCCTGCAACCTTATAGTCTACTTAGCCTTGATTTTTATCATTGGACTTTTAATAGCTTTTCGAGGCCATATATGACATTTTTGGTAGATCGACAGCATAAGTGAATGACTATACAGTTCCCAGGCTTGAGCTCCTGAATGTGAGAGCATGGGGAGGCAGAGAGGTGCTGAGGAGGGCAGAGGTGAACATCTCGCCTCCTCCAAGTCTAATCCACCATCCCACTGTGCTGCCCTTACACAGCTCCCCATGCAGTGTTCACAACCCCAGACCAAGACCTCATCCCCATGTGCTCCTTCATCGTGAGGCAGGGCACATAGGCTGCGCTTGGTTTGTGTGGCCTGGGCTGGGGTCTACTGAGCAGCTCAAAAAGTGTCACGGGGAGCCCACCCCACTTGGAACCTCCCCTGGCAGTCAACCCTAGTCCACCCCAATCCCACTTGCCTGAGACCACAAAACCAAACTGCCTCACTCCCATTTTTAGAATCTCCTTTCCAGACAAATGTACCTAAGTATATGATTTACAAGCACATGCTAAGTAGAGGCTTCCCAGTCATGGCCTCTCCTTTGTAATCAGTATAATGACCAAATCTGAAGCTCATCAAACTATCATGCATTGGTGATTGGTGGCCTTCCTCCTACTTCTTTTTCTACTTGGTCCCTCACCTCTTTGCCCTACAAAGACATTGTGTAAGGATAACAAACACTCACTTTCAGGCAGACCAGAGCCAGATATGCCCATACTTCAGCATTGTAGTTGTTCAGCGCGTTGGCTTCAGAGAGAGCATCCTCAGCCTCTGTGAGCTCCTCCAGCTTGACAGAAAAAGAAGATGCATGAGTTGTTAAGTAAGAGTACTTTTCACATAAGCCAGCTGGAGTCTATTTAGCTGAAAATACTGTCTTTTATTTTTAGCAAAATAACTCTTTCTTCAAACAAAATCTTATGTGGTGGTGTTCCAATATATGAACCAGTTAAAAGTAGAACTACACTAATTAAAAAGTCAGGTAGGAGAATCCGGAGGCCTGCCAGCTGGGCTCTCAGCTTACACGCCTCTCTTCTTCCTTCCCTCCATAGCAGGCCCATCAGGGCATCCTTGAATCATGGAGCTTCAGGTGCCAGGTTGGAAAACCAGAAGGATTCACTATCATGAGTTCAGTGACCAGTGATTTCTCTGGACATAGTGGGCTGCCAGACACATCTGTAGTTCGTCGTTTACATTGTGCATCCCTTTCTTGAGGTTAAAGTCCTATTAGCCTATCAAAGCACTATTGTTCAGAAAGTCTCCCTTTCCCCTAATGTTAGTTATTAAGAGCACAGTCTTGAGCAAAAAATACAATATTCAGAGATTCTAGGGTGCTCCCTGAGTTCTGGGCACATGGTTACCATTGCTGCTCCCTAAAACTAGGAGTTAGCTTTGTAAAAATCTTCCAAAAGGCCACCTAAGGAAAGGATAAAGTACTTCTCTCTCCCCTGTAAAATAGCTCTTCCCTTTTTCTGTTTTAGAAAAGAAAAGAATGGGTTTCTAGGCCCAAGACAATATGATGTACAGCCTTTCAGCAATGCCTATACCTTGGTCCACACTTTAACTATCTCAGAGATATTAATTCATTATTCAATCAACCTATATTTGCTAAGAATTTACTCTGTCAGACAGTATGCTAGATACTGAGAATAAAGAGATAAAATAGAGCCCTTGCCCTCAAAGAGTTCAATGACAGATATGCAAAGAAAAAAAAACTCAAACACATGAACAGTTCTGATACAAAACAAACATGTCTATAATAAAAACATATATATAATCTAGTGGAGAGACAATGGAAAATAGGAGTAATTCTAACCTAGATTAAAGGATGGCTTCAGAGAAGAAACTGCTACAGTGAATCTTGAAAGATAAATAGGAGTTTACATAAAGTAACTACTAAGAGATAAAGGGGGAAATTGATGGGAATATAATCATTGTCAGAGACTTTAACACTGCATTAACATCACTGGACAGATCTTTCAGACAGAAAATAAATAAGGCAACAGGGAAATTAAATGATACAATAGAAAAATTAGATTTGGTGGATATTTTCAGAACATTACACCCTCCCCCCAAAATAGAATATACATTCTTTTCAAGAGCACATGGAACATTTTCTAGGACTGATCATGTACTTGGACACAAAAGAAGCCTCAACAATTTTAAGAAGATAGAAGTTATCTCAAGCATCTTTTCTGATCACAATGCCATGAAACTAGAAATCAACTATAGAAAAACAAAGGAGAAAAAAATGACAGCATGGAGATTAAACAACATGCTACTAAAAAAACCCAGTGGGTCAATGATGAAATCAAAGTTGAAATTAAAAAATACTTTGAGACAAATGATAATGAAAACACAACCACACAAAATTTATGGGACACAGCAAAGGCAGTGCTAAGAGGGAAGTTT